ACAAAACCTCATGATATAATTGAAAATACAAAAAATGTAATTTATAAAATTCCTTGCGAATGCAATAAATTTTATATAGGAGAAACCTCAAGACTAACTTAAGACACAAAAGACTCAAAGAACACCAATCATACATCAAAAACAGAGAATATCATAAATCACACATTTGTCAACATGCATTTGATAATTGCCATAAAATTCAATGGAATAATTCCATAATTTTAACTAAAGAACAATCCAGAAAAAAACGTAAAATTAAAGAAAGCGCACTAATTTTACTAAATCAAAATAATTGTGTTGTTTCATGTTTATTTAATTTAACAAAAATTTTTGAGGCGAAATACCCAAAAAGAAGTTTGTAAAAAAATGAATCCGCCTCAACAATATAGAACTTATCTACAACTTATTATTTTTGTTTTGATATTCCGAATTAGAGTATTAATCAGATGTAAGAAATAAGTCATACAAAGCAGTATAGAAGCTGAAATTAATAATATAACGATACATATGTATTTTCTAGCTTTGCTCTATTACTCAATTGTGATTTTTGTCCCTATAGTATTGCAGCTTGTCAAAGTACAAGTTTCAACAAACTATTACAAGAAGCATGCTTCTGACGAAACGTTTTCTGACGCCATTATAATCCAATGAAATTGGGATTTAATCGTAAATGCCCTGTACCACACATAGTCAACTGATCTTTGATCGTTTGATTCGCATTCGTTTCAAAGCCTTGAGCCCCAATTATCAAGTTCAATAATTATTCTGTCCTAAGCCAATTAAATCGTCTGTTCTGCCAACGAGTTTACTGAAAGTGGCATGAAATCGGGCAAAATTTCATTGTGCATTTCTATTTACTCTATCCCTATAAGCTGTAAGGAAATTATTATAATCCGAAATGAATCTTCTAATACGTATCAGTTTTCCACCAAATAGTGAACTATGGGCAGGTATATTTAATTGATAATCGATATTTGACTCCCATTTTAATATGGGACGAATACCTAAGATATGAAGATGAGATATGGCTGGTTTGATATTATAACAGAAATTATTAAATTGATAAAACACTTCGATTTTAGCAGGGTTCCGCATGTTCCAATGTCCTTGGAATAATGCAATATTATATTTATGCGTGTACCGTAATCAAAGGCAAATGAAACAAGATTAGTTTGCGAAAAAGCATATAATTTGCCGGTCTTGCAGGGCACAAAATGTATTTTTCGCAACTGATTTAATACATTTCGCTATTTATTATCGCTAAGTAGTATGGAAATGTTCGGCTGCAGTTAGACACTTAATTTAAAAATGCAGCTGAACCAGTTGCAGTCCTGTTCTTTAACAAGTCGCCAAAACGTTTAAATTAAAAAGCCCATCTAAATATTAGTAATGTTCATACTTTTATGAATGCTAATATGTCAGCCGTTGTAGCTTTTGCAGAGGAAAATGGATTAACTATTGTTAAAAACGTAAATAATAAATCTTACTTGGATAGACTGTCTAAAGGTATATAACATTTATGAGCTTACGGTTTGGCTTATTGGCGGCTAAGTTGCTTGCTCAAAGAAATCTGTTCACAGAATTGAACAGACGAAGTAAAATCCGAAGAACGCACTAAAATCGGTTTCAATCAGGTAAATTAATTACAGTTCTAAGATTACAAATGTTAGCCTATCAAGAAAATCTTGCAAGTTAAAACACATTCTAATGACTAGCCTTAAAAGCTCATCCGATGTTCCAAGTTTAAGGCCTCGATAAAAACTAGAAAGAAAACTTTTAGGATTGGTACGTTGATGCTTTTCTTCTTTTTTTTTAAATTTCAGTAATGGAAAAGTAAGCATAAAAGTCAGTAAAATTTTTCTTGTAGAAATTGTAATGTAAACGTTACATCGAGAATTATCCTCGAACTTTAGAGCGCCATCCGAGGACATTTTCGAACGTGTAAAAGAGCTCTAACATACATGAATGCCTATTTCTCAGATGTTTGGTTGGTCAGTGAATTTCAGAGACATTAGAGAGTAAAGTCAGATTAATAACCCAATAATATCGAAACAATCACATGTGAATGAGACGCTGTTACGACCATAATCTAGGTGCAATATACATTTGTTTGCAACGTGACTAAAATGATGTAAGGTTTTCTCATGCATTTGATTCAAAATGTAAGTTGATATTACGTTTTACTATGAAGAAGAAATATTTATCACAATCGAAAGCATCAACTATTTACTTATTTATCGAAAAAACGGGTTCCTTAATATCTATTTTTAGAAGGTTCAGATATTTTCTTTATTGTAAAATAATCAGATTGATATTAGATAGATTTGTTTATTGGCTGGCATATCTGTAAGGACCTAAACTCTGATACAAGAACGTACATAAGAGAAAGAACGGCATTGCTAACAAAGAATTAACTGACAATTATGAATATTATAGTTGAGTGATTATTGTTTTCTACAAGAACCATTAGCAATGGCCAAGGGAATATAACATCTATCGCGGCTTCAAAGGAAAATTGGCAATAAAGTCTTAAATAAGAATAAATATTTAAACAATATTTTTTTCCTTGATTCTCCTGCTGTTCGATTGGATTGGAATTGTGGTTTGTTACACACATAATTTTAAAACCCGTCAAAAAACGTTGTCAATAGGTAAATAAATAAATAAATACAATTACACCAACGCACGATTTTCTGCTAATTTTGTATAAGATAATTTGAATCAATAAAATAAAATATTTAGTTCAAATATTATCATCAAATCACTATATGTATAAAGAAGGATGAATATAGACTGAAAGTACCAATCTTCCAAATCATAAAAAGTGTTAAAACAGACTAAAACTTTGAAGATTAGTCATAAAAATTCGTATTTAATGCAGACGGTACCATCAAATACACAGCAAATTTGAACAAGCGATGGTCGCTCAATGAATATGATTGATATGAAAATGTACAAATGGAAGATGTTAACTGGATAATCTTAATATTAGCTGAATTTTTATAACAATCCCTATTAATTAATGTTAATTAATTAGACTCAAAATGAAGCATATCAACCATCAAGAATCAGTCACGATCTGACTATTCATATTTTCCTGGTCTATACGATCCGTCATCATGTAAACCTTCCCCTATTTCGAAATGTTCCAAAGGAGCACTAACTCCAGCAAGCAGTGAATCCGCCAGAACTGAAGAACCAATAGCACCAACAGGTACTGCCGGCACTAATGCAGGTCCAGCCAAAGTGTAAGCAGTTACAATTTTTCCAGCAACACCTCCACCTACTACGACTTCGTGGGATGATGGTAAATTGGCTGGTCCTAAAACAATGATTAAACTTGAATATTTTTGATTCGTTTGCTTGTTGATTCGATGCAAATCTTCCTAGCTTTTTGTTCCAAGTGATTGTTGATTTAATTTGTTGCTGAATTCATTCTAATTATTAATTGGAATAACGGAATGGGAAATACCTGCTGCTACCAACCCTGGATTTTCAGCAGCTGTAGTAAGAGTGCCGCCGGGAAAAACAGACTGCAGCGTGCTTCCATCAGGACCGTAAACAGTGGTTTTACTTCCAGGTCCTTGTAGAACTTTAACTGTTGGAATTGTTGCAGCAGAAGCAACAATAAAGCATGCAGCAGAAATATGAACCAACTGAAAGTGATAAAATAATTGAAAATTGCAAACGTAAAACACCCTATCGGAAGCTACCTGCGACAAAATTTAATAAATATTAGATGAATTTCGTTGAAATAGACATATGAGCAAATGAGTTGAATATTTTTATACGGAAGGTTTTTATGGATAAACGTATTTATTAAGTACATTAATTAAGTTCCCTTTTATAAGGACTCCCTTCTTGTTGAGTATAATTAATTGGGGACATTTTAAATTTGCCAACAGGTTGATTGTTTATTGTTGGTCAAGTTAACACATATCAAGCACATGAACTAGGTTTTAGTTTTTTTAACCGGGCAAAAAATTATTTCAATGATTTTTCTAAGTATTCTGAAAATGGTCAGAATCAATACGTACCATGATGGCCATTTTCGCAACTATTGAATGCAGTTAGCACTGACTAGTCACTTTATTAAAACTAGCCACTTATATTATATATCGAAACAGCCTTGTGGGCCAATCCCTATTTGATTGCAATATGCTATAAATAATCCTGCATAGTATTGCACAGGCATGAAACTTTTTTTCAATCGGTGACTTTGTGATAAACATTCCTCAGATGCAAATTAAGAGTACTGTTATACATTTTATATGAATTTTTGCCAATTCTACACCTGCGAAGTTTGATAAAATCGCTAAACCCTTTAGGAAATCTAAGAGTTAATACTATCTTTGAGTGAACTTCTGAAGACACATATCTGCTATTTATTTCGCATAATTCCAAGTTTGTAGGTTTGAAAAAATGTAAAGATTTTTAAAAAATCGCAGTGAGATGCTTTTTTACTCCCCATTAAACAAAACATGTATGTTATTATATAATTTTAACTTCCCAAAAATTAAAACGACTAATTTGAGCGGGCATACGGAAGACTCTAGTGTTGCTTCATACAGAGCTAACGAAAGCAGAGAATCTTGTAAGTAGGTATTTTTAACGGTTCAATTTTGGTTCCGTATTTAAATTATAAATTGAACACCGTATATATTCTTATTATTTTAATTGGGTAACTTAACTTAAATTAATTTAAAAAATTACCCCTCTCATTTAAGCATCATTTCCTTTTTCAATTTATTTTGGATAAGTAAATTTGATAAGTTTTAATCAATTCACGACAAGGACAAAAAAGCAATTCCATTTGAGTGTGTTAGATTATATTGGGGCTCAAAACGTGTTCCATTTCATCTATGATTGATACAAAGTTGTCCGCTTCAACATGTATCCGCTTCTTATATTGCAACTTTACACAAAATAATAAAATGTGCTTATTTGCGGTAAAACTGATTTACTGAGCCCATGAACTTGAAACCGCCGAAGTCGCCTATAAGTAAAAGTGTCCACCACTTTTAATTTCATGACCAAGGACTGAAATCCTGACTGGGGTTGGGACAAACTGCATTTGCTAGCTACAATTACAAATAACGCAAGACCTGAATGCATTCAATTTGAACTCTTTATTTCGAGAAGTTTTTCAAATACAAGCCAAAAAAATTCTTAATTCCAGAAAATGGGTAAAATATTTTGATTTTCAAAAATACTTTGCCATTAACATAAATGATCGAGCTTTGTCTTGCAAAACATTGACTTTGCAACCGATCGACTCAGGAAGGTATTATTCAAAGAATTGACAATTTAGCTGTTTCTGAGAGCTTATTGAAATACTTTCGAGCCATCATACTACATGGAAAAATCGAATTTCTTCTATATTATTTCAAAAAAAACATCGTATGTTTCTATACCTCCAAATAAATGTTATTGCTTACACGACCGATTTTTGTATTTCCCATACAGTTTAAATACAGTGGTGTTTCAAATGAAACCTTCCAATAAAATTGATCCAATAAAAACTTCCTCAAAATTATACTTATATGCAAGAAAACCTATTGCCGTATACAGATACAGAATGTTCTGCTTAAAAATCGATCAGTTCGATAAGCGCAGATTTTCGAAAACATCCTGTATAACGAAAATAATTTTGATATATTGCTACGACTGATCTGAATATCCAGCTAATCGATTCCTTGTGAACTAAAGCAAATAAATTCCTTTCTTTGGAAGCTTTTCCTGATTCCTCATTTATTCCGGTTTGTCTAATTTTAGATATAATTCTACACATATTAARCAAGTTTTAATCTATGTCAGCCRGCACGTTCATCACGCAATGCAAAAAAGTTAAAATATGTCTAAAAATAAATACTAATTTAATTATTTACGACGATTTACCATTAATTRAAAAAGTCTTTACAAWTGTCTTTATTTAATTCTTTCYTTTTCTTGTAGTTGAAATATWARTTTGAGTGGTGAGTAYCTAACATAAATTGGTTAATTWACTAATTAATTCCAAAAGATTTAAATGAATTCGACTACGAATTCATTTAATTCGATACGAATAATTATTCATTTAGTAGCAAATATATACAAATATCCAAAATAAAATCGAAATTTTGACATGGCAACATCAAATTATATTCATGCATTTTCAAGTTATAAATTTGATAAACCATGAATACAAGGACATACAAGATATAATTGCACATGAATAAGCAAAGGCAACCTTTGTAAGTGTGAGTAATTTTTGCCTATAGCTTATCGTATTTTTGATAGTTTTCACAAGTTTAATGAACAAATCTATAAATTTTTATTCACTGTGATTTGTTGTGAATTTCATTGAAAAAGATGAATTAAAATATGAGCCGCGTGCAATTCAATGTGTTCTTTGAGATTTACAAAATCGTTAACTTATTGACAACAAATTTGCCACCACCACTTTCAAGTAGACTGAAAATTTGCTGGATTAATTAATGTTAATAAGAGCGTAAATATTTCCTGAACTAGTTCTACATAGTTTAAACTTAGGTTTTGAAATATGTAAGAGGACTAATTACGTAATACAAAAGTAAGAAAATGTATTGTGAAAATCCTTGTCTAAGGTTTATATTTAATTTTGAAAAGTGATATTTTAAAAGTATTTTGTATTTTTCTAATATGCATGTTGATGTAGCATTCTTTGTTTGTCTAACGTAATGATTTTCGGTAAATTGTAGTTAAGCTTTGAATAAATCTTAACTACAATATACTGAATGCTATAATATACGCTATGCTTTTTTGTGTTCTTCTGCTGTATTTTGAGTTGCTTTTCTCATACTGGGAATAAAAGTTTGGCAGGCTTTTGATGTAATGAAAAAAGATTAGTACATAAAATGATCAAGTTTAAGCAAAATTCTTGTGTTGCAATTAAGCTGTTAAATACAAATGAAATAATTAATTACCCTTCATGCGATTTATTGAGGCCGTAAATTTATATCGAAATTAAGCCGGATCTCAGAATCGGACTGCCTTAGCCTAGGGCACGATACCAGGCGGCTGGACGTCCTTGCTTTGTTATCTGTTTCTTGTCCACTTTGCACCAGATCACATTGAAATCGCATTCCTTTGTTAATACACTAGCATTCAATTGCTTTTTTAGCACAGAGCTGCGCTTCCGCATTGAGGACGTTGAACGGAAGAGAACAAACAAATAACTATAATTTCGACACAATCGGAAATAACCATTATAGTTAGGGCTAATTAAAAGTCCTGCACTCGAAACTCTTTATTGTTGTATCGACTTCAATTAAAACAAAGTGAAGTGATAGTTTCTGGACCGATATACGAAAGATGTTTTTCTTTCTTGGGGAATCGGTCTGGGCAGCGGTAAAAAAAGAAAAACTTTTTAAGCTACCAAGCTTTCCGCGATTTATTACCACCTTCAAATGCAATATTATAACTCTGGGGAACCCCCAGAATCCTATTATGACTACTGTCTGATGAAACATCTTAGTTTCATGGCTTTCATCGTAATACAAGGGTGGAACTATTTTATACAATTACTATTGTAATTTAATTGTATAATATTGTAATATTAATATTACAATTGTTCACCTAACTCACATTGCTGGGTTACAAGTTGACACGGATTAAAAATTCACAATTAACATTTTTCTAGAGCAATACCGTAAGTCACAGAACTAAGGTCTAAATTCATGTAAAATTCTGCAGTGTGTTCTCAATCAACTTGTTTTTGTTTAATGAAAGCAGCTGCTTAGTATTTCAATGTTTTATATCCCCCATTAAATTCTAACAATGATTCAGGTAACTTGCGACTTATACATGACTTCTTGGACTCACTGTATGCGAAAGCATCAAGCGCACGAGAAAACACAAGTATGTAATAAAAATGAATGTTTATCTGAAATGGCCCAGGCCAGAGCAAATTAGACCTAACGATACACGAAACACCCCGAAAATGGTTTTCACGGTATCTTATTTTGCTGCTACTCGCAGTTCTAAGAAGTTAATGGAGTTTTAAACAAATTTTCATTGTAAGACATTACAAAGCGTTAGCTAACACATAGTTTTCTTGTTTCCAGCCCTGCCCAGACACGTTGCAAGACTTTAGGGATGAGCAATGTGCAGCATTCGATAAAGTTCCTTATGAGGGAGCCCTGTATCGGTGGCAGCCCTTTTACAATGATGACGATCCATGCGCCCTTACATGCAAAGGCAGACCGCAAGAAGGTCATGTGGAAGATCTTTTGATAGTTGCTACGCTTAAGAAGAAAGTCCACGATGGTACTCGATGCAGGCCTGGGAGCTTGGATATGTGTATTGCTGGATTTTGTCAGGTAAGATCTCCAGATTAAGGAGACTAATTTTAATTGATATTTACAAAATGACCATTATTGCTCAGTTCAACTAACGTTCGTATAAGGTGAAACACCGTCGCAATATAATTGAAATAATAATTTCAAATCGAATTGGTAAATAAATTCAGACACGTAGATTTTTCTGGATACAAACAAAACAGTTTGTGTTCGTAAACTAGAGTGACAATTATTCCAGATTAACGAGCCAGAAACAAGAAATAGTTGTTTTATTGGGAGCAAAACTTGCAATAGAAACTCACACATCAAACATTAAGTAAATATAATAGCTTTATAATAGATATGATTTAAAATAAAAACACATGGTAGAAACGAAAAAATCAATCACATTGCACATAATGCACAATTAAGAATGTGTTGAAAAAGAAGCAGTTTTAAAATATCAAAACGAATTTTATGCAAAAGGAGATTAACTAATGCTAATGTAGTTTATTTTAGAATACATTTTATTTGAAATAATGGCAGGCCAAAATGTATTTTAGCACATTTTTGAAAGAGTTCCAAATTTCAAAGTTTTCACGTACAGTATAGGGATATTGCCATGATAAAAGACTTGACTTTGAAACAAACTCTACGTCGATATAGACCTGGCAAGTGCTCGTATCTGAAATCCCTCTTTCTCAAGCAATACAAGGCCAAAAACTTTGAGCCATTGTACCCAATATAAATAAATCTTTTCCAAAATGTACACTTCTTATTCGTCCATATATTTCTGATGATTTTCCAATATTGGCTTTCACGTTTCTGTATTTACATTTATATTATTTTCCAGTGTGATGCGAAGTACACATTTTTCGGATCGTCTCCTCCAGACCAGATTAGAATTGGTTGGTTCATAAGATAAATTCAATTTAATGTCAGCAAGATGAATGAGCTATCGGTGGTTTTCATTTTAGTCTAATTCCTGATTGCAAAATCCCTGCAAAATTAATTATAATAACATGATACGGACACCTTTAACTTGTTGAAAGTGTTTTACTGTTGAGTATGATACAATTGTCTGACATTTAATAAAGCAAATTCTTATTCATTCCCTAAATAAGTGTTAGATGACTTACGAGCATGCAGTTCGATTCATGTCAAACGTTGAATCAATTGCAAATTTTTATGGGTAATATTTGATAATTTTCTGTGAAATTTCAGCTGGAAATATAATAATTGTGAAGAAAGCGAATAAAAATTTTTACTTGGCCTTAAGTGTTAAAAACTGCATAAGCCTTTTATAATTAGGTACATCGGAGAATTGTTTAAATATGGAAACAGAATCAGTTTTTGGACATTCGAAAAAAAATTTAGTTAGGAAAATACAAAGTTTTATTATTTAAAAAATTAAAACGCACGAACTCACTGCAAGTTTTCGTAAAATAAAACCAGGAATTTTTAAATTTTAGTTTTTTATATATTTATATTAATTATTGACAGTTTTTTTTGTGAAAATGTTTCTTGCAAAAATTTGATCTATTCGATATTAAACTGGTTTATTAGTTGCCTTGTTGAGCAGTTCTCAATCTTACACGCATGTTTTAGCTATTTAAATATATTTTTCAAATTTTCGCGTCAATTTGGTCATATCATTTAAAAACACGCTCTATATACTCGCAGTTAAAATAACCGGCAACAAAAGTGCTTTCAGTAGCAATTTTCCTTCTGTTATTGTACGAACTTCTTGGTGCTAACATGTGGGAATTAAATATTTATTCCAGCATTGCTAGAATCCTGCTTGGGCAGAATTCTGGCCTTTTCTTTCACGTCGTGTTTATTTTAAGTAACGATCCCTATGGCGTAATTTTGTTCTATAAAAGTGGCGTAAACTTTTGTTTTACTGTACATTACTGCATATTGTTCTTTTATTCGCAGAAATAGTTTTGAATATTCCTGGTTTATCGATTGAATCACTTTAGCCTCATTGTTCAAATTATCACCAAGAAACATATTCATATTTTATCCTTAAAAGTAAACGCTATCTTAGTTTTACTTTGTTAGACAATAAATTAATACTTGTGAGAGCTTAGTTGCATTTTTTTAGATTTTATATAGTTAGCACGAAAATTTAAAAAAATTAGATTAAACATTGGTGATTTCGGCTCATCAACTATAGGAGAAACTCGAAGGGCTTTCTCGCGAGCGTTTCTCATTTATTACTAAAATTTCTAAGACTAGAGATGAATGAATGAATGAATATTTCATTGCGTTCGTTAATTCAAATATTCATTGCAAGTTTGAGAGGCGAGTGGGAACGATAAAATCCCAGCAAACTCAATCATGCGAGAAACGTTTCCATTGTACAATGTGACAAAGCAGTTGCTTTTATTAAATTAAAATTAAAATCTGTTCAATTTTGTTAACACAATGATTTAGTACGAATCCGATTGAAACTTCGTGCGTCTATGTTCTGTAGTGAATGTTGCTAACCACAGCAATAATTTTTTATGCCACATAAACCAGTTGACACATTTTATTTTATTATTTCTTTTTTTATATTGTCTTCACTTTTTGAAGGGATTTTCGTGTTTAGAAATTCATAAAAACCCTCTAAAAAGAACCGACAATGCAATTTGGTTTAAAATTGTTCTGATCTACTTTGACCGATATTAATAAAAGCTTTATAAAATAAATATCCGGGTTTATAACGTATTTGGCTTTGTTACGATCTGTCAAATGAAATCCTGCATTGAGCACACTGAATAAATAACACTATAAACTTCGTACACTAAGAAGTAACAAGATTTGTGTCAGGAGCTAGTGTTACCGTGAGATTTCACGTTGGCTTGAGGATTTTCGCTTATATTTATTAGCTGTTTCAATTTTCATGTTGGAGAAATTTGTATTTGCAATGTCTGAATCTTATATTATATCAGTTTGCCTTTGGATTTAAAGGAGCTTAATAACTGATATTTTATTGAAACCGAACATAAACATATAAATAGTATCGCTATTTAAAAGTGTATGACGGACCATTTTTTATTGGCGAAGAGACTAAGCAGAAGCGAAAAATGGCAATTAATTTGGAATTTGCTTGCATGGTCACACTCTAGATTGATTTAGTTTATTGTTTTTAGGCGTAATTTTTCCTACATTTATTCAAAAAGTCTCGATCCCTCGAGTAGATTTCTAGGCCCAAACGTTTCAGGTTATTTCAAATAGAGTTAATCTTAAAATCATATTTGCAATGATTTATTGGATGTAACAGAAATATTATGAGGAAGAATTGAAACAGCGTGTGAAATAGTCCGCAATAATCGACATCAATGTGAAAAATGTATAGAAGGAAAGCCATTTCCTTTGCACTTTGAACGACATTTTTATTGGCTATTTGATCTTGTTATTTGCTTGCTTTTCGTGTTTGTTTCAATCTTTATAAATGTGTATCTTTAGGATAATATCAAGTTTTCTGCACATTTACCCTTGAAAAATTGCTACACATTACGATATAAGTTTTAAGTACACTAACAATTGTACTGTTGATATATGTATGTCCCATTAATAAAAATTAAAGTCAACCACAAAATTATATCTGAATTTACACAACTTCTAATAGATAGAAAAAATAATGATTTTCCAGTTATTGAATTAAATCAACACGAAGGCGATTAAAAATCTCCGATCTTGATAAAATGTTAAATTATTTTGAGTTTTGTAAAGAATTCAATTTTTTTGCGGCACAGGGCGAGATACTGAAATATGTTTAGAAACGTTTTAGTGGAGGACGTCTTGCACATTCAATTGAAAATTTGAACTCAGATTTAATAAGAGCCGGTCTAGTAATACTTGTGCCGGAAAATTTCCGCACTGGTCATTTTTGTGTCATGGTATTATAATTAAACAATTAAATTAAAAAATGAAGATTAACAATTTTTGTTATGAGAAGCCAAAATCCTATATTTTGTCAACTGTTAGGCCGCACACAGACAATTAAAACTTAGACTGTAAATTTGGATTTGCAATCGCGCGTTAATTGCTCCTTGGTTAACGGCTCTAGCAAGGAAAATATTTCAATATTTCCATGCAATTCCCGAATATTAAGTGGGCATTTTACTTCTGCTACTTCACGGCAGAACGTCTTAATTACCCTATAAAAACTTTTAATCAGTTTCTTTCTGAAGAAGAATCCTGCTTTATGATATTACAATTTGAAAGTTTTCTATTGTTTAAACATATTGAACGTGATTACAGGAAAGTACAGCTTTATAATTGCTTATTCAGAAATATAAGTAAGAAATCAAAATTTAATTTGAAAATTATACTCAGATCTTGTCCACGAGTCCAATAAGAAGCAGAGGGCTAAAAAAATTACAAGTACCGTTCTTCTAAATCAACATCTTATAAAATTCTACAATTGGCAAACCCCACCGACCTAGTAAAATCTACAAGGTGGAGATTTTCTCCTCTTGACTAATGTTTCATTTGTAGCCAGTCTTCGAAATATTAGATAATTTTCTCAATTTGAATAAAATGTAGTTTTAGATTTCGATATTGAATGACGAATGTACGGTTCATGTACAGTGAACGTCAATAAAAACTCATACTGAAGAAGTAATAAATAAGACACTTTAAAGCTTCTACCACACTTTCTTCTAGCACACTTTGGAAATATAGCTATGCTTGTGGAAGCTTTGGAAAATGTTGTATTTTGTACTTATATAAGTGCTTTATAGTTAAACTCTAAATAATCTAAAACTTTATAATAAACTCATAAATCCTTAAAAATTTTCAATTACTATGGAAAGTTCACCATAAGGAAGCTACCGACTTTCGTGACTTACTCGATTAGCTAATAAATAGAAAAATCAAATACTTTTCGGCACCCACAGCAATTTATGAGGCGTTGCTTCCATTCAAGAACTGCTTACACGCCGAAGGCAACATATACCATGCAATGTCATAGCATATTTTTATTTAGATACTTTTTTATAATTCAATTTAAAAGCTCTTCATCTATAAAATTATTGATTATCTTACGATTAGTGTTTACTAATCGTGTGAGTAAATTGTGCACAAAAACACATTGATTTATAATGATTAAAAAAACTAATATTGAATTGTTTCAATAAGTTAGCTAAGTAGCGCCATCAATTCTTTTCCGAATCTCAAATGATATTTGACCCAGTTTATATATTTGCGACAATCCCGAAAATAGCGATGTTTCTGCATCGACACATGTGAACATCAAAATAAATATTGTGAATGGAAAGTCGTCTGAAAAATATATGGCGCTACAAAAACATGAACGGAAAAGTTATCCGTCTCCGAAATATTTATTTAAAACTTCTGCTTGAATCCTGGAAAGCTCGTCTGCGATTGATAGCTGGGTGAACGAAATGGAATTGTGAAATAGTCGGATTTTGTCAAAAATCCGGCTTTGCAAAATTATTAAAATAAAGAATATTATACTTGGGACTGTTTTAGTTGCATGGTGAGCATCGAAACGAATTTACTTGCTTTGAGTTCTAATTGTTCCAATTAAAGTTTAGTCTGTTATTACCTACCACTTTCCATGTTAGAAACTCACTGAACTTTAACGAAAACTTGTCTACGGTAAGATCAGTAAGATTAGATGGTGCCTGTTTAGGAAATATTTTTCAGTTTCCATTACTGAGTAAAATGAGAAATATTTTCATTCTCTACAGTCGCTTTGATCCTGAGTGACTTCATGTAAATTCAACAAAATAAATGTCACAGAGCCAAATATGCCCTAACTCCGGAACAGGATAAATTATGATTGTTTTTTGCATTAGATTTATGCTTAAGCGTTATCTAGTTCAATTCTTTTTCGGTCAATCTGTTTTTTTACAAAAAATCATATGTTTATAGATTTCAACACAAAAGACATTAATAAAGACTTTACGAGTATATCTCAAAATTATATTGAATTTGTCATTTCATTTCCTTTTTTCTTTAGCAACCTCTTGTTTCTACAGGGTGTTCAAAAAATCAACTTGCGGTTCTGTTACTGGTTTTCCTGTGATTGCTCTGTGACTGATTATCGTTTCAAATTTGAGCTGGAGATTTTGAAAATCAGTCCAAAATAAAAATGTTATAACGGCCAAAAAGTTGGTTTTTGAACTCACCATTTAGGTAAAAGAGATCGGCAAAAATTACATTTTTTTTTTAAATACGGGGTCCAACTTTATTCCACTGATCTTAATATCCGAACAAAAATATAATTTTTCAGTTCACCTTCTTTCAGTCACATAAAGTGTATTTCGATTAGTAAGATATGTGTATCATGCAAAGTTTCTAAGCAACTGTAGCTCTCATTTTGAAAATACAGTTTTTGTAGATTACATTGGTTTTCATTTTTTAAATTTATCTTTTGATGCTCTATCAAACACGTAAAGCATAGATACTATTCCTCTGGATTGAAAAATCCAATTCTATATTGCCAATTAATGACTGCGTAATTCTAGTTGCAAAAGAATTGAACTAAAGTATTTTTCAATTTTTGGTAGATCTCCTGTTAATGCCAGCTTGAAATCGAAGCTTTCAACAAATACTTTTATGCATCCAAACGGACGTTCCGTTACGAATACGGAAAGAAAACTCAGATAAAAGGAATTGTCGGCGCTTCGCTACTTTCAGGGTGATAATACTAGATAGTGGAAACATATTGCTGGTTATATAGCGGCCTTTTTCGTCATCCAAAGCCTTATCGCTAAGCACGTTTTGTTTCATGAGGGCTAAAAAAGAAAAATTACCACACTTCGGTGTTATAGCTGCATTCATGGGAAACGGTACGTTTCAAAATCAAAAGTTCGGTTTTCAAAGTCGAATTATCCTGTTTTATTTTCGCTAAATGTTCAGTAATGAAACAAAAAGGTGTTTATAAATCACTACATCTTGGCGCTAATTGACAATTATATTCTACAGACAATAGAACTCCGACCAGATTATGGAATACATACTATTGTTACCATTATTTAATTAACGCAGAACCCATAGTTTTCACAATTCAGACTGAAACAATACTCTGCTAGCTGGCCTGGCAATGACGATATTGAGCCTTAGTGTATTTATAGGTCGCCTAACTATTGTTCTGAAACATTTGAACATTACCTTGAGATGTTTAAATATATTTAATATGGCAGCTTAATTAATTAAACCTCAATGTCCACGCTCCTGTTTTAGTTAAAATTCAGATACCTAAGTTTTAATATTAACAACGCACCAATATTTCTAGATTAGCATTTAGAATAGCATTTAGGATGGAAATTTAAGCTGCAAACATTTTGAAATAAAAATGTTTGCTGAATATTTTGCTGGCATTTGGTATCTAAACATGTATTCGATATGTATTAAGAAAAGCTTTTCTGTGAATTGAACCAAAGAATAATATCAAAGTTATAGCAAAATAGTATCAAAGCGCTTTTTTAATCGCATTTTTTGCTTTCAGCAAGTAGGATGCGATCTAAAGCTGGGATCAGAAAAGCAAGTGGACCAATGTGGTATTTGTGGAGGGGACGGATCATCTTGCGCTAAGCCCCTTTACCATTGGACACTTACGTATACCTCTCTTTGTTCGACTACATGTGGAGGAGGTGAGTACGCAGCAAACTGCAAGACAGAAAATGTTGTGTTAGTTTTATTAACAAATATAAAATACAGTTTTCTATACAAATGTCTTTCACTTACAAGTAGAGGACTAAATATTTCGTTTTTTAAAATTTTAAATAAAAATATATAAAATGAATGCTAAAAATTGTTTTAGTATTCATGCAAATAATGTGGCGCTATTTCCCACATAAACTTAAATAGAGCGGTTTTAGCAGTTTTAAAACTTAAATAACTGTTAGACATTTAGATTTTCAGTTTAATTGCAATATTATCTAACAATGCAATGCAAAAAGTTACCAAATTGGAAAGGACGTGCCACTTGAAATATATTTTGTATAACTTGTTATTTGCATTAGAGGAACGTCCTAATTTCGAACTTTGAAAAGTTTCTGAACGCGATGGCTTTTCCAATTAAAATGCAAATTAATAAAAGTTTTTCATCGTCAATCGCATTTAAATTCAACTTTGCTTACTTTGCTTCATAAGATTGGTACAAGCGTGTATATCCAAACACAATATATTCGAATTATCTTTGTTGTTAGTTCTAATTTTCGAAGTTTTTAGGTACTCAAATTATGTTACATGCTTTACATTTTCTACTTTTTTAAAAATTTTATAACGACCAGATTTTAAAAAAATTGTTAAAAAATACTAGCGGTTTAAAAAAAGTTTAGTTCAAAAAAGTAGAGTAAAAATGTAAATATTTCTGTAAACACTTCGTTGCAAGGCGCTACTTTTTTAGTCTTCTTATAAGGTATAGAATTTGATTATTTCCTTAGTTTACTTTAATTAGTACTTTAACAAAGACGTTTAAGGTAAAACGGGAAAAACAGTTCAATTTTAAGGATGGGAAATGGCAATAAAAGCTAAGGAACGTTTATGATTATCATCACAGTAACAATACGCAGCAAGTTTTTAGGCACCCAAGTAAGTTAACACAGCAAACTATATTTTAGAAAAGCCGCTCTTGGAAATTCGCTAACGGTAGGCCGAATTGGCTGGAAAATAATTTTATATTCTTCAAATAAAGTTATTATGACATTTTCAGCAAGTCATATTAATTTAAGATTAGAAAGAAATTAGACGATCATCAAAGAGCCAATTTCGCTCTTTTTCGGTTAGCGCGCAATATTTTGTTCGTCATAATCCACGAGCTTTCATTGCATTTTCCAATTATAAAGCGCACTTGCACTGCAGATTTGCAAAACAGTCGTGATGGAAATTCCTATTAAGTTGGAATATTAAAGAGACTGTTTTCAACAGCAGGCAACAAATGCGTTAAGTTTTCTGGGTATTACAGCCTAGAAAATGTCACGTTTCGTCGCGAATAACACTTAGTCCGAAGCCTTATTCTCTAATACTCTGGAATTATTGCTTTGGGACTCGTGGTATATAGTCTCGCTTTGTTGTTAGAGGATCCAATGTATTTGCTCGTTTGGCCACTATAATAACAGAGGACGAGAACATTGGCGGTTTTCTTGCCCGGCAAACTTAATTAATTGGTTAATTTACGAGAAAATTCGCTTTTGTTTCAGGTTATAAAATGTCGCGACCGGTGTGCCAGAACAGGGTTACCGGTGATCAAGTTGAAGAAGAATTGTGTGACGACTCGCAGAAACCAGATCCATCAGTTGTGGAGTGCCATGTTCATAATTGTCCCCCAAAGTAAGTAACTTCGTAATTTCGACTACGTGATCATTCTAACAAAAATAAGTAAAAGGTACATATTCTGTGACGGAAGAGTGTAATTAATTTTGATATCTTTTGGGTCAAAATCTTTGGAGCCAAGGGCCTTCCCGAATGGGCGCCTCGGCCAAAAAACATAGATTTGAGCATTTTCACCAACAATTAAAATGTTATATTAGAGATATTAAACAATATCAAGCGATAAACAGAACATGAATAGAATATTAAAGCATTAGTTACACGAGACAAGGCGTTCATCCTTTTCATCAAATTTTGATTATTTGCAACTCGAATATGAGACAATTTGAAAGGCATATTGTGCACAATGTTTACATTGACTTAACGGCTATAAATAAAAAGTTATGGGTAAAAATGTGGGAACAAAAATATTTTCAAAATGTTTCCGTAATTTATTCTGTTCTTCTAATTCTGCCGGTCGCAAAAAATAAAAATGAATGAAAGATTTTTTTATATTAATGTACTACTTATAATCTTGCCTAGCAATATCAGTAACTTTCCATTTCGATGTTACAGGTTGTCTTCCTAATGCAAAGAAACACGACCGAAATTAGTTGCTAAATCGAAATGTACATATATCGAATATTGAAAAGAAGATCTCAAAAATCTCTTAAAATTTTATTTGACTTAATTTTCGTTGAACTTAGATTAATTTGTCATTCACACTTGTATGGATGAAATACGACGAATACGAAAGAGACTTTGCTAATTTATTAGAACAACTCAGTAGCATGTCGTGAGTAATGAATCAACTAACAACCATCAGATGAAAGTGCCCTTTAAATGCAGACAAATCACAGAAATTTCGTTGAAAATATCAAGTCAGGAAAGCTAAGATGACTTAAACACACAAGATTAGAGCGGTTAATTAATAGGCAAATTTCAACTTACAAACAAAACAGCAAACCAAAAAGAACTTCCAGTTCTACTTGAAAATGGGCTCATTTTGCTTTTACAAAATTTTGTAAAAGCTTTGTCTATAAAACAGTCAAAGATGCGCAAAAACGATGCAAATACGATTTTAAATTCAAAACGTTGTAGACTCTTGACAATTGTTTAACATTCTTAATTTGCATGTGATATATTTTTGAAAAGAGTACAACAGTAAGGTGAGTACGAATATATTTTCCAATTTTTTTATTTTTTTTTTCGAAAGATGGAAGATAACTATTATTTTCCTGTAACATAAATCTCAACTGTATATCTATCTGATCTGCATGAGCAATGAAATTATGTAAACCAGTGGCACAGGTTCGTCACAACAATTTAAAACGAGAAAAACAATTCTCATGGAATGGGAAGAACAGAAAAATATTTCTGGTTTGAGCTTTTGGGTATTTATAAAACTGATTAATTGATTTCATAAAAATAAATCACACACCTTATTTTTCAGACAAAATATCAAATACCATAACATATGTGAGCAATTAGTAGTAATTACCAACATTTATGTGAAATATTGGAAAAGTCCGCTCTAGTTTCGACAATCGCTGAGCAGAAAGTTATTGGATCGGTGCCCGCACTAATTTGAATTAAATGTTCAGAAAATTGTGTTTCGCTCTTGTTAATTTTTGGGCACAGGAAAAACCACTTTCTCTTAAAGAAAAATTGATGATATAGTCGGCGCAGGAGAAAGACAAATTCAAATATTTCCAACTAAACTCCACAAGAAAGACTTTGATATAAGTAAAGTAGCGAATTTCCTTTATGATAATATAATTATACCAAATTTATAATTCTGAACCTTGTCATTTAAATTACATTATTTTATGTATCAAGTACGTTGTTTCAGAAAGTTATTTTTTCATTCTGCACATTTTTAATTAGTTTCGATGCGAAAGTTGTAATAGAAAACCAGCATCAAAGTTTGTTTGGAACCACCTAAACTTTGCCGGAGCAAATTTAACGATTATTAAAAAAAATATGTATTGTACAAAAACAACAGTTTTCCTCTAATTATTATCATAGCTATTTGTATAAATTGTTACAATTGGTTTGATACTGTGAATTGAGCACATAGATATTGTGATTTTCTATTGATACGGGAAGTAATCAAATACAAGTAGTTTGCATTTATATATTTTTAGTGCCGAAGTTTCGTAAGCGTATAAGCTTTCTCAATTGTGAAAACTCAAGACCCGATTATCTAAATGGTTCCAACAATCCCTGCATGTATAGTAAAAATAATTTTAATAGTGCTGAAAAATTTAATTTTTTAATCCAAATTTCTAGAACCTGCGTGAAACTTTGAAGTGCAATATGTGTGCTATTTGCTTTTATTTTCATTATTATCTGCTAATTATTTTACATGCGTATTTATTTATTATTGAAAATTGTGTAAAAAATGTATTATAACTCAAATGGTGAAAGCTTTAAAGCTGTTTTGCAATCATTCATGAACTCCTTTATATTTAGCTTGACGCCACCTTGCAAAGGTACACTATTCTATAAAGCTGCCCGATTTGAGTTGAAATACAACATACGATTTGAGGTAAATAATTACGGTCAGCAAACCTCAAACTTTCCACGTATACCGGATTCGAGCCTTGTAACGCGATCCAGCTTAAAAGTGTGTGTCAACCTTAGAGCTAAGTTAAACGACTTCATTCTCAGTTGCTCGCAACCGTAATTATATGGCATCAAGTTGATAAATAGAACTATTAAGATTACCCGCAGAAGTAAATTGAATAATTCCGATGTATTGTTTCTTGTAGCTTGTTTTGGGATTGAAATTAAATAATTACTCAAGAAATGTAGAACGAAAGCATAACAGACTAACATAATGACCTAAACTGGGGCAGCTACACACTCACAACTTACTTTACTGAACGTACTGGGTTTATGAAAACTGTCTGCTTTATTATTATATATATAATTATTACAGTGCAACAAATGCATACAATAATTTTGTAAATATTTTGTTGGTTCAGTTAGAATTACTGTTATGCACTCTTGTATTTGTATGTATAAAAAATTGTTCTTCCTGAAAAACCCTCACATCATTATTGTCAATAACTGTGAAAACATCTATATCATCAGCTCTAACTTTACGTTACGAGTCTTTTATGTTATCGAGATGTTAATTAAAACTGCACATTAACTTCGCAAAATCATTTACCCACATAGATTCACAATGCAAATTGAATGCTTTTAAATGGAAAGTTCAAAATAGGTTTTTAATATTGTAAACGAAAACCCAAAGCGTCCTTTTAATCTAGTACATTATTCCGTTTTTCAATCAGTCGGAATGGCTTTCACAAGCCGTAGAAGTGATGAAAAACTGAAATATCCTCTTCACCTATACGTTACGTCACCAGGAATATTTGCTACCGAGAGGATTGGGTGCTTTTGTTTCGTTCAGAGTTTGTTTAGAAAGTTTGCTAGCTTGCTAGCGCTACAGTAAAATTACCGAGACATGGAATAAATTCGGTTTCAACTGTAGAGTCGTAACTACCAAAGCGCTTGTTTCAAAGTAAACTTCCGGAGTTCTGGCCTTTGTCACAAACTTGTTATTTTGGTTCCAACAGAGGCGTTAAATTGTCACTACCGAAACCACTAGAATATTTAATTTGTATTATTGCATAATCAGATATACATGCCCTGTTAGCGTGTTATAATTTAACCACTTCAGAACTAATATAATGACCAGCAATACCGTTTAAAAACAATATCAGTTCGAACAACTGTTTGAAATTTGTGCATTGCGGCAAATGTTTAGTGTAGTATTTCTCATTTGTAGAATTTGAGAAACTTGTCATTCACGATCTTATGTCTGAAAGTTCTTAAAAGGAAATGATAACAATATAAATGTTTTTATTTAGAAAAAAACATTTTTGGAGAGAACTGCTGTTAAGTTGTACAACTGAAGGTCTTCATCTCACAGAGCAGTAGATTTCTTTTAGTGATTTGTTTTCAAAGTTCATATATCATGTTCGGTGAAAAAAAGTTTTGTTTTCATTTTCACAAACACACTTTGTGATAGAATGGTATGACTTTTCTCTTCATGGCAAATTTTTCAGTTCAAGTGTCTCAATTTTCATTTCTTCAAACGTATCGTATTTGCACTCAAACTTACACACATTTAATTACCGTTTTAAGTTTCGTTCTTATAGATCTAAAGGTTTTCATCTCTTTAATAAATATCTTATACATTAAATTTTTTGAATAGTTTTGTAGTGTCCGAAAAGTCCGGTATTAGTTTTTTACGTATAATATAAATCTATTTCCAGAAAAACTAATTAGACTTAGTACATGTTGGTTTGTTAATTACTATTTTATTACTAAACTGTATTTAATTTCCCCTTTTATTTTATTTGTCAAATTTCTCCGAAATATTCGATTTTAACTTTTAATTGAAATATTCCGTATTCAATGTTTCATTCATAATTTGCAGAATTTTGCAGCTTTTTTTGTAATTTCAGTTATAGTTTTATAGCAGATTTTAACTTGGTCCGTCAGATATTAATACCGTCTTTATATCTCTTTGCAGCAATACCTGCATCTTCGACTCTTACATGTTTAAATAGTTTAATTTCAACCACAAAGTTACATAAACTTGTTTTTTCATTGGCTAAAACTTTAGTTAAAAGAACTGACTTTTGGATTCATCTTTGGCAAAAGTTCGGGGATTTACATATCATCTAACAAAATCAAAGATGAGACACTAAAACAGTAAACATTCTATGTTAATACTTTTTTGAGATCGAATTTGCAAAACCGTGTGATGTAATGTGGCGTTTTGCAAAAAAAATCCTGGTGGTGGGTTCATAAGATGGACCAAAATAGTGCAAATGCACTAAATGGAACCACCCGCATATTCCGCAGGTATCCTGAAAACAATTTTACAATACATATATTATTATAACGAGGTAAAAGTATCAAGTAAAACGAATGCGCCAGCGTGCAATATCGCAAGAGCTTTTATCCAATTAGGAACTTTAAATATTCCCTCTTTCCCTAACTATCCCAGTTTCCGATTTCATTAAAAAACTTTTGGTTTGCCCTTATTTCTACTTCTCATCTAAAAGATGAATAAAAGGATGAGGTAAGTTTCAGGTGACAGAAACTTTTATACTTTCAAAAGTAGCTACTTTACTTCGTCTAAACTTATTTGCCAGTTTTAGAATGGTATTGCTGAGGGGCATTAATAATATTTTCTGATTGGAACAGTAGAATTTTAGCTAAATTTATGTTTTTTTTACAATCTTTACCTATCCAAACAACTTCACACACACAACACAAAAAATCAATCACATGTCCAAAGGTTCTACAGAAAATAGATAAACTAGACCAAAGCTATTTTAGACATTTATATTTTGCTATTGAAGCGTCCAGATAATTAATTTAAAAAATAATTTAAATTTGCTTGTAGATGTGTAGTTTTAATAGTAAGCTTAACTATGGCTCTCCACAATATATTTGTCATAAATTTGTTGACCCATTTCAGTTGAATATTCAGATTTGCATCGACGTTATATTATATCCCGTCTTAGTTAGAAGTTATGAAAAAAAATTGTATGTTATTACACAATTAGATGAATCTCACATCATAGTAATGTTGTCTATTTTTTATTGATTAATTTATTTTAAAATTTACTCAGACAGGTACTTTTGTTAGTGTATACTTTTATCTAATATCAGTCTTAAAACATGTTGACGGGTTTTGGTGCACTATCTGTCGGAGCTGCCGTTATAACTGATGTTTGATGGACTAAGTTGTAAAACTTCCATAGCAAAATATATTTTATGATCGATTTCTCCGAAAAAGGTTTAAATTTCACAAGGTTTCTTAACGTTCTATAATCTTTACATACCCGCTATATCCAAGCAAATGGCAAACGTTTATGTGAACAAATTCATCTATAAATCCAATCATATGATAATTGCATACATACCATATATAGCATTTAGAACCAATTAATAATATAAAAAAACAATGTAAACATATGGGACGTTTTTGTCTTATTATATATCAATTCGCGTTTACATATATGATAAGTTGTAAAAGTTTGAAGCGAATACTAACAGTTTTTCTATATAAAATATCAAAATTTCAAAAATCTGCTTATGGTTTCAAATAATATGCAATAAATATATAATTTTATATGATTTATATAATTTATCAAATTAAAAAATTAATACCATCGCTAAGAATCGTAGTAGTTAAATTTAAGAAAATACTATATTTTACAACATATTTAAGGGTAATTCCTTAAAGATTCATGCTTGCAATAATTGGCGCAATTAAAAATACTGATTTAAGCTTTCAGCTCTGTTAAAAGTTCTTTTAGCTTTAAATATCGCTCGAGGAAGTTTTAAGCGTCTGTCTTAACGCAATGGATTAAAATGTCACTTAAGCAGACCTCAGAGGGTAATTAATTTTGCATGGCTTTATTTAGAAGTACTGAACGTAAAGTAATTGTTTAAGATGATGACACAGCCACAGCAACAGAAAAAAAAATGTCAAAACAGTCATTTAGAATATTTGTAAATGTGGAATTATTTTGTAGAAAGCAAATATAAAAAATATTTTTATTTTAATATTTCTCAAAGTCTGAACACTTTTTTCCGTCTAGAGTGAACAGTCGGAAAAAACATTTGTAAACAGAAAAAATTGTATGTTAGTTTTAGATATTAAACTTGTTTTGTCTTTTTGAACATTAAGTTATGTTTAGATATTAACATTACTGTTCTATTGATTTTCAGAAAACGTAATTGAATTGAAATTAGATGAAGAGTTAAAAACAGCAGGTAAAAATTAGAAATACATTTGAGCTTTTTCGACTTTTCTATTAAATGTATCATATGAATCAATAAAAAGCAAAATCATATCCATCCGGAAAAAAATGTAGCATAGACAAAATAGAAGTAAAGATATTACTGCCCAGTACATGAACATCTAAAGAAAGATAACTAAAAAATTGATTGAATATTTTAAATGAAGGCTTCCTGACCCTAACTGCACTGGATTGTGCCTAACTTGTGTCTAATCCAGTACAAAATCTTCAGTACAGCAATTCTCCATCGAACGCAAATCAGCAATTGGGGCAATTTACGATATTGCATATTGTAGTTAATGCGAATGAATTTGTAAAATATTGCTGTTTTATGTGCGATCAATCCTTGTGTATCTATAATTGTAAATAAATCACATTTTTAGCTGAATAAAACGTGCATACAATAGGAAGTTCTGTTTGTCAATTTTTCTTTTAAGTGTCTCTGTTTGCGTGCAAAAACAATCTGTGGTTCAACAAATGAGTGCACAAAAACACATCAAAAGAGAACTTGATTGTTCTGTTGGGATGTGTTGTCGATCCAATGAAGGTTGGAATGTTCAATTTTCAACCAGAGGCAACTCATTTCCATTCTGGCTCAATTAAGGGCAGGGGCAATTACTGGTGGACTTCAGGAAAACTCAAATTTCACCACAACTACGCATAGACAAAGTTACAAATTTGTTTTTGACTATTTAATTTAAATTTGACGCACATTCCAAAAATATTTGAATATACTTTCATGATTTGCGAATCTTCTTAATTGTCATATCGGCTACGAAGCCGAACAAAACCAAATCTTTGAGCACAAAAACAATAGTAGCATTGCCAAAAGATCATTTCCTGCATCAAAAATAAAATAAAATCCCGTATCGAATGTTTATCCGTTTTCCGCAATGCCCTCATTTACCCGCATAACGCTTGATGAAACAAATGGCGTATCATAAACAAAAAAGTTGCGGACGGATAAGCTGTGCCTACCCTTGTTACTATTTGGATTTGGAAAAATAGAACCGAAAAACTGGTTTAATGACGTTAAATCGGGACGTATTCAGAGATATATTCGAAAATGGAAGTAAATGGATCAAGTTACATTTTAGTTGAAATCAGATATAAATTCTTCTCTGCTCTGGTCTTTGTTCGTTGGGTTTGAAAAGGACTACGAACAAGACACTGGAAACCTTTATCTAAGCATATTTTCAAAATTAATGTTAAACTTCTTATTTTATATAAGGAATCCCAATCCAATCTCATACTGTTGTAACTGTTCTATCAATTATAATTGAAATTTTGTATTAAGATTGTTTGTCTAATAATGTCATTACTTTTAATTATTAATTTGTCTAGCTCTGATAAAAGAGAACGTGATCTCCAGAAGACAGTTAATTTAGATAGTTTACCCATTGATAAAGTGTAAACCCACTCATTTAATATATGTTTAATTGGAAAATAAAAAAAATAGAGGTTTTATAAGCTATTTTATTTTCAGATGGTTCATCGGAGAGTGGGGATCATGTTCGCTGAGTTGTGGAGGCGGAACCCGAGTTCGACAAGTGCATTGTATAGAAGAAAGCAACAATACTAAGTTATTGGTAGGTAGCACGTGTATAACTATAAAAGAACAAATAGAAAGGGTTTATGATTCATTAATGGTCTCGACCTCGATCTCTAGCCTAATAATTCTGCCTCAAAATATTATTCCTTGAATAAACATTGAAAATCCCGAATAATTCCTAGAGACCTTTTCTAATTTGTTAAGTACAGAATCAAAAAGTTTCTGGTCAATTTACGGTTCGGTTCCTATGAAACTTCCGACGAGCCAAGTTACACAACTCCGGTGAAAATTAGACGATTTCCAAGAAAAATACGCAGAAGTAGTCGTTCAACTTCAGTCATTTTCAAAGAGATAAAGAGGATTCGAATTTTATTACCGCAGTAATTTGCTCAGTCGTTTCCACTCATTAAAATAATAACTGCTGGCTATCTGGGGTGTGTGTGTAGTTAATGCAGTAATTATTTTCCTTTTGTTCTTTTCAAATTTAATTTTCCACAAACGCCATTATATATCTCTTAAGAACGAGGTTGCGTGATGCACTTCCTGAAGTCGTTTTAAAGGATCTTTAAGTATTAGATTCAACATGTAAGAGATAAGAAAGAATTAATTTGAACTTTTTTTAGCCGAAATGGATGTATGCAGTTTTATTCAGTAAATTAGTAAATACGAAAGGAAATGTTAAATACACGTAATTTTACACTGGATGATATCATATCATATATGATATCAAAATTCTGTTCGGATAATCCTGCTCGTATAAATGAGCGCACTTTGCCTTTGATTTAGTAATGTTCTTATTGTTCGTTATAGTCAGTCCCTCCAACTAAACATTTAAATACAGCTTATTAAGGCATTATCATAACCAGCTCAGTTGATTCAACCTACTGTCTTCTTCAGCTACAATATTCCATTTACAAGAATTTAAAAGGAGTCGCCGCTAAGTAGGTTAACCGTGTTAGTTTGAGCAAATTATGAACTTTGCGCTTCAACTTTAACGCGATGTCGCATTTGAAGACTTTGGTGAAATACTTCGAATTTACATTTTTCATGAATTATTCACTGAATCGCGTACCGGAAATTTGCCTAATTGTTGCAGTGGCCAAATTTTAAAGTTGGATAAAGCATTTTATTTCAAACGACAACGAAGCACACTAGTAAATAAGACTTTTGTTGTACTTCGTTTTTTAATAGTGTCAATTTTGTATGTACGATAAAACTATGTCTATCAATTGGAGCTAATGAGACTCATTGGAAAATCGGCAAAATAACATTGAAAATTCGGTTAGAAACATGCCTTTCACTTCCCAACAAATACCTAGTTTCTTAGTCAGAACACAAACGAGAATAATTGGGGTCGGTCCTGAACTTAACTGATACAGAAGATTCAGATCGGAGTTTTCCTATTTGTTGAAGAAAATGCGAGAAGAATTTTTTGTCCCTTCCCTTCAGACTAAGGCATCTCTTTGAAGACTTTCATACTGAAACATCAACTATTATTGGGAGTACTTTTTTATATAAAACTTTAAAATAAATCGTGTGCCTAGTGAACAACATGCATTTCCTCTGCGCCACCTATATTTTCACACACTGTTGATTATTAATAATTTTAAACATTTTCGTAAATACTTTACTGTACTAAGCATATTATAGAATGTGTACAGTGATACACTGATCAAAAAAATAAACAGAACACCTCTTTGTGTGCGAGCCTCACAAAAGACACATATTTTGTCACAATAAATTAAAGAAATGGAGAGTGCCGCTCTATTAGATTCTTATATGGTTTATATGCCTTATGTCCTCCACTAGCTTGAATTCCATAATATCTTATTGGCATACTGCAAATGAGTCGTCGAATACACTCCCATTCTTTGAACTAGATATTTTAAAAGTTGTTTTTTTAGAGTTGTTTACAAATAATTTTAGGAGGAACTTTAGATGTTGAATCTGCCGGTTCAATGCGAAGTCGGGTCTTAAAGCATGTGACCTTGCATGAAAATATATTTGGTATCAATATCATATGCAAGAAAAACATGATCTGAAAGAACAATAGCCACATATCCTAAGAATGAGTTAACTGAGAAGAAATGTGTGGGATAACTCAATTTCATTTTAATTGAATGTTTTTCTTAAATTGTCACATTTTAACACTCTGTCCAACGACCTGAACTCTGTACTAAAATATATTAATAAAAATTGCAGTTGCTTTTTAGTACAAACCTGTTATTAGTAAAACTATTTAGAAATAAGCATATTTCAGCTTACATCTAAACAGATTTGCTTTTATCAGTATGGAAATGAAGATGTTATATGCGAAAGACGCTGACTATTAAAAGCAAGAGCAACTAAAGCCCCAACGTCGCCCAATCTCGTTCTAAAATTTTATAGCGTCCTTAAAAAACTAATCGCAACATATTAGTGACATAAACCTTTATTTTATAGGTTGACGAATCGAAATGCGGCGCACATAAACCTTGGGTCGAAGAGGTTTGCAATCAAATCGATTGCCCTGTATGGTTTACGACAAAGTGGTCGGGGGTAAGATACAATTTATTTTTTAAGATCCTAGTGTGTTGATAATTCTATTACGCTCAAAAAAATGAAATGAAAAAATATTAATAATTTAATAATGACGCAGTTGCAAAAGTCATGCCTTATTTGATTTAGTTCAACGATTATAGTTTAGTTTTGAATCGTATTATTTTCTCGTTCCATTTGCTTGGCTACATTTTTTGCAACAATTTTAGTGTTCAGTTTCTTGTGGAGAAGGAGTGCAAACTCGAGTGGTGGAATGCAGAAACACTAGGGATCAGCCTAGTAATTTGTGTGATGCAGCAACTAAACCAGAAACAACTCAAGTATGTTCAACTGGAATGAATTGTCCGTTTAGATTGGAAACTAGCGAAGAACTGCTACCTGGTAAGATAAATGAGAAATAATTCTGATACCTGGCAGTTTTTTTGGATGCAATTGTCAAAAATTTATTTCTTTATTAAGCCCTATTTGCTGAAAAAGCTGGTTGATATTTTACATTTGCTATTAAATATCCCGCTTTGAAGCAGGGCAATATTAAAAGTGCGAAATAATGCAAAAACGAAAACAATTGCGCTCCAGAGAGTATTTTACATTCCTATTGTCATTAATATAATATTAATATCAGAATTGATATAGTCGTATTCCCACAAGCCCGTTAATAAATAGCATTAATGAACCACAAGCATTAATTTCCTGTGTATACAGTAAAATACAAGCCGGAAAACAGCTACTGCCTTTACAGAGTGTTCCAGATAAATATAATTGGCACATGGGCCGAGGATGTGGAAAGTCATATAAAATACAGTATCTTTATAACTTCTGAAGAAATAATAAATATTATGGGAATACATATGGATGTAATGTGAATGATTCTATTTATATGCATGTATTTGTATCCATTACATCAACATTATTTTAATGTGTTTTCTGTTTATCAGCTTATTGTTTCAACATCATAAAATGAGTGTTATATTTGCAATTCATCACTTGAAAAGGCAATACATCATACAAATAAAACAGCAAAACACTATTTTCTATAAATATTTTTTATGAATATGTTTTAGTAATTTATATTTATTATCAGTTGCACTAATAATAATCACACAAAATATTTTAACTTAGTGATAGTAAAGTTATATACTTACTTCTTTTATAAAATTTGTTTCTAGGTTTGTACCAAACTCAATCCTTAGAACATTCCTATCCTGCACCACCAATGCCTGAAAAATTAGTAGGAGAACAAGAAGTTCCTTCCGAAAGCACGTAAGTTTTTAGAAAGCCTTTTGTGGATAAATGTGCCTTAAACATTATAATTAGTGATAAACGTTTTAGGTAAAAAGTTTTGAAAAACTTGAATATAATTTTGCAATTTTCAGTATTATTATATCGAGAAAATGCTAATATTTGGAACTACTTTATTACAATTATTATGACACACTGTATGCGCTATTTTTTCATTTTCGATGTCACTGCTTTTGTGTTTTGTGTTTCTTAACTGTTTTCGATCTAAGTGTTACTATTGGTATATAAAGAACTGACAATTCTTTATAGACAATAAAACTAAAATTATTAAGCAACTTAGCACTAAAACTCTAACATATACTATACTTCAAAAATTTAACAATAAAGAATTGCCGGTATGAACTCTAAATTAATATGTTTAGTGTGTTCACATATTTCACCAATAACAGAGAAATCCCACATATCCACCACATTTTGTCACGTACATCCTATAATCTTCTGCTTTTGCCAATGATATAGTTGAACGATGGTTCTTCGGTAACAAAACAACTAACCCCGACAACAATTACCTACTCAAAGAAATCTCATTGATTTATAGGAAAACTTTAAAATATACTCTATGTAATATCAGATTCGAAAAAAAATTGAGTGAGAGATAAACATAACAAATTTAGCTTTCAGTAATATTTCAAGTTCCATCAATGATATTGACTTACCCCAAATAAAATTTGGTCTTGCGGAGCCACCGAAAATGATTTTATAGATTCTTAAAGATGTGTTTCATTCATGAGAACTATTTTTCCTAGCAATCTTTACATGGGTAATAGTAACGTTTTTTTTCCTCGTTATAACTAAAAAGCTTGAACCTCTCTCATTTTTTTCCTATATGGCCATCAAAGCGACGGACCAGCGAAAACACTCACAACTCATCAATATTCATTTCCTCCATCGACCTCACTTAGTACTTTACACGAAATAAACAGCCTTCCATTTGTCTTCGTTGTCTTTTCAGCGATTACAAAGTGTACTTTGCCTGCGGTTGGGTGTACGTGAGGTACATTATAATACACTTTTCAACTCTTTTTATACATATTTCTCTTTCTCACCTTCCACTCTGCACCCTTAGTTATTTTTCACCTGAGTTCATTAGTGGTAACATGAAGGTTTTGTATATTAACAAGTCAATGTCTGATATAGATTAAATAGATTCAATGATAACTATGTGCATTATTCAGTCAAACGTTCATATTCGTACATATTTTATGATAAATGGTCAAAACCCTCGCGTTGCCACCACTGATTAACGTTAGCTATGTTGAAAATTTCTGCTTATCAGGCGAGCCAAATAAGCGTTCTAATAGTGGTGGTTTGAACGTTGATTGAGCTGAATACATGAGTTTCGTTCTAACTGGAGTTTTTAGAATTCGAGGCGACTTTTTTAAATTAATCCTCTATCTGGTCTAATTGGAACTTTGCTGCCTTAATTGGAGTTGCCGCGCTTTATCTTTCACAGTTTTTTTAACTGAAATCCGGAAAATCAGCACACTGAAAATTTTAATCAATCTTAGCAGAGCCCGCGTCGAGCTAGTTTAAATAATGATTTTTAATTGCAACGAAATGGATTAGTTAGAAAAATAGTAATGTGAAGTCCACACTATTATTTTAGATTACGGCAATATATTTTCCTAAGGCTTCAATATTATTGTAAAAAAGATAATAGAATCTGAAATTTAACTCCTAAAGAATTTGAAGTAAGTTTGATTGACAAAATTGTGGCCATAGGTGAACTCTGAACTCTCTGAAAACAACGTATTAAATTGGTCTGCTGCTGAAAATTTGAAAAATAAACCCAGGTCAAGTAATCATGATTTTCAAAATCAATCAACCAATCTTCCTACAGCTGATGGATCAGCAAACTTTTGCAACAAATGATAACACCATGGTTTATAGAAAAAGTAACTGACGATCCAAAAAAGCAATCAGAAGAGTACTACTGAAAGCTACACAGTGGCTCTCAAAGCATATTTTGCACTAATTTTTATATTTGCCTATAATTATTCTATTTTCATTTAGTTCAAAATTAGAAGAAGTAGTACAGGCAAAATTTGTTTTTTTCACAATTAGTTCTCGAAATATATCACTGGAGTTTCCGTCCCCAGGATCGTTAATTGAAAGCTTATTGAAAACGGTTCAACTAAACAACATCTCAAGAACGTGGAATTAAGTAGTAAGATTTATGTTGCGAAAACTAACATATTGTATATAATAGATCAAATTTAATATAACTAATTAAGCCATAGACTTTCTGTAAATTTTCATGATTTAAAAAACAGACTTCTTGTTAGTCTTGCATTTTTATATCACAGAAAAATACAAACAATTCAGTCAGTAACTGATATGATTGAATAATGTATTTCTTTATCTCTTATATTTGCCCAAAAATCTACTATTGACATTTCTCGGGATAATGTTTAAGATTCAAAATAAAAATGTGTAATGGATGTACGTTCAAAATAACATTTCAGCATCAAACTGTGAAAGCAAAATGTTAACTGCGCTGCTCATGAGTTACCCAAGTCTTACTATGATATTTGCTGATATTCGTTGCTGCTGTATATCCTTTCATTGCTATTAAGTCAGCTGCTTTGCAAGAGAATAAACTTGTTTAATTAACGTTTCCCATATTACATGCGTAAAAAGTCAGCAGAAGTTTTCACTAACTAATAAGTTTACCCACATAAGTTCCAATATTAATTGAATAAGCACCAGCTATTTGAAGCACATTTTCACATTGTTGGTGATTGAATGCCTTATTTACGCAGGTGTTTTAGCACTGTAGTTTCATTTCTTTTTGCACCGCATTACAATTGGGTACTTACAAGTTGGAAGCGAAAAAGGTGGCTAAATAATGGATGGAAGTACTTACTGACTGCTGTTCTTAGTGCCTTTGGTTGTTGAATTGCAAATGAAAAATGATATTGGGATGGAACATTTGTGTTAACTATTCTAAGCGTTTGAGAAATTGTTGAACACGAATATAAACTAAAAATTATGTTCCTACAGAAAAATAGTGTTATTATATTACTAACTATTCTTAGCTACGTGTTAAAAAATGTTTATCTAGCTACTATGGATGACTATAAAAAAAGTCTAATAGATTTTAAGAGCACCGACACAAGAAAATACGAGCAACCATAACATTGTGAAATCTAAATAACGATTTACTTTATATTTCTTCAAATGTATGTTTGAGACTCTAATAATAATCTCTAATAAAAATAAAGATTGTTGAAATGCCGTTTAGGTACAAAATCGATCCTGAGGATGCTTCATGTTGCCACAGAAAAAACTGGACTTCCGCTCAACATTTCAACTGCTGTCTCCAAACAAATTGAGATCTTTACGTGTTTTATTCAATTTTGAATTAACTACAAACTTCTTTTTAGGGGAATAAAGTAAACAGGATGTTTCTTCAGCAGTTGGCTTTGTTTTTATATAAGTGGAAATAATAATTTTCATACCTAATGCAACACACAAACATTTTTAGCAAATGTATTACATCCCAAAACTGAGGTTAATTTATTTGGATTTGGATATTATTTTATATTGTTCAATCAGAAGTTATATATGCAGCATTTTTACTATAGAACTTTGGCATTAAATCCACAACGCTTCAAAACAAAGCGTCGATTCAACAATTTATGCAATATTTTATAACATTTTAGCATTTTGAGCTCTTCTGCATATGTATTTAGGCATGAATTATTTATGTTGTTGATATTAAACCCAGTACAATTAGTTTAATATCTTACAATAAAACGTAACTAGACATTTTCTAACAATGAGATGAATGATTTCAGATTCATACCAGAAGAATGGGGACCATGTAGCGTAACCTGTGGCGAAGGTGTTCGCAGAAGAGAAGTTTTCTGCAAAATATTTCTAGAATTTTCACGCACAATTGCAAAACTGCCAGACAAGCAGTGTTCGGGAATAAAACCATTTGAATTTGAAAAATGCTACAGGGAGCCCTGTACTGAAGAGAGGATTGGAGTGGATATCAAAGACGATCCCACAAATATCAAGGTAAAATATGAACAGAAATGAAACTGGGTCAGATACAGCAGTAGCACGTCTTAAGTAAATTATACAGGATGTTTCGCAAATCATCCTGCCATTACAGGTTGGCATAGGAAGCCCTGCAAAATCGTATTCCTGGAAAGAGCTGGGATTTACGCCTTGTAGCGCATCTTGCTTAGGTGGTGTACAAGAACTAATCGTGCATTGTGTGCGCGATGACAACCAGAAAGTTACATCTCCGTATATGTGTCCTATCGAACTCAAACCAGAAGCAATAGTAAGGTAAAAATTAAATCGTTATGATATAAACAGAAGCAGTAGATATAAATTGTACATACTTTCCTGACTGTGTTTCAATTCCAAATCAAAATCAATTTCTGGGCTTCAGTCATCTATTGTCTATTTATCAATTAAAATACGTTTCGGTGTTTTCCACCATCATCAGTTTCTATGTGTAGCGTTGTTGCTACTTTAAGCCTTGGTATATATTTGGAATATTAATTTTCCCTTAAAAAAAATTTATACTCCAAATATATGTCAAGGCTTAAAGTAGCAACAACGCTACACATAGAAACTGATGATGGTGGAAAACACCGAAACGTATTTTAATTGATAAATAGACAATAAATGACTGAAGCCCAGGAATTGATTTTGATTTGGAGTAGATATAAATGTTGAGCTCAGCAGCGATCAAGTATTTTCCATGTCAAGGCAGTTAAAAGATATAAATGGTTAAAACTCGTCAATTTCTACGTTTAGATCTAATATTTATTTTTGCTGTTGTGTTGCTCAATGTTTTGTTCCGTATAGAGTCCCTTGTGAGCAGCACCACTGATTTAAGAAGTCGCATCACTAACAATGCAAATTGATATTCCTGAGCAGTTTTTCGAATGATCTGAGTCATGTGCTGTTAAAATAGAGTTAACTCATAAGTTCAGCGCGATCTAATTGGTATTCGGAAAAAAGACGGTCCAGAGGATTTTCATTATATCTGATTATTATATTATCTGATCGGTATATCTCAATTATAGCTAAAATAGCAGAAGTAATCAGCCGGGTAAACTTAACTAGGGATAAAAATTGTGATATTTATTTCTTACTGTAGAGCGTGCAACGAACACTCTTGTCCACCTCGATGGTCGCATGGGGAATTTACCGAATGCAGCCACAGCTGTGGATTGGGCATCCAAACAAGAGAAGTGACTTGCATTCATGAATTAACTCAGGGTGGTAGCAACACAGTGGTGGTGCCAAATTCTCGATGTCCACCCCCATCTCCACCTGATAGGCAATATTGTAACGTCTTGGATTGTCCCATCAGGTAAATGTTTTAATTTTGAAATTTCGTTTTTTTTAGATAACATTTATAGTTGTTATTTAAATTATATAAACGAACTGGCTCATCGGAAGACACGTGCCTCTAAATTGCTGATTTGTCGACGCACTTTAACACAGATGCTTACTAAACTTAACTAAATAAGTGCTTCTATAAGATTGCCTTAGAAGGAACAGCGCAAATATGGGTCTCAATTATCGGCAAGTTCAACAAAAAGTTGATAAATTAAATAAATGCGTAGTTAATTCGCGGTATAAAATCTGCTACTCATTTTAGGAAAATCGGAGCATAATTTACTCAAGCACTAATTAGGAATTTCTCAAAATAATTACCAACAAAAATTTAAATCTCTTAGGGTTTTAGAAAAAAAGTGTGCCCAGTGAGCGTTAAACAAGTTAAATGAGTCTTAAAATTAGCAAGATGAGAGCGGGACACGCTAAAAAGAAAAGAGTGGGCAATTTGCTATCAAATTAGTAGTCTCGGTTCGTAGTCGTAAACGCTCTAAAGATGCAAATGATGTCGTAGTTTTAAATGGAACGTGGTATCTACTTTGTAACACAGTTTGTTTCGACTGGAACTGAACAGAATTTCACTAGTTTTGATCTAATGGTAATTATCGAGCCATTATTTTTCCTAATGGGCTTTACCAGTCGACTTCATTATAAAGCGCAAGCGGGAAATAATGTTCTGAAAGCAATGAAACAAAGCAGAAATCAGATGCAATGCAAAATTGCGAGTGTCTCTTGAAAAATCGTTAACTTTGTTTTAACTCACTTTGTATGTAGGGTGGATAAAAGTACTACATTTGACAAGCTTTTATCTAATTCCCGAATAGTGTGTTTCCATCATTTAATACTTCTTTGAATGTTTTTTTCCATGCCAATAAACTGAAACTGAAAAACCTTAAATATATCCTTTAATTTACTTAGCACAATAAAATATATAAACATATCTTTTGTTCATTCGGTATCACCCACAACCGATATGTTAAAGTAGTTTCTGATCTTTTAATCTTCAGCAAAAAACGTTTCTTTTAAAACATGTTTTGAAAAACTTTTGAAAAACTTCTAAAATGCAGTAACGTTTCCGAACGATAATTGGAAAACAGTTAAATCTTCTTGAAGGTTTCATTTCATCTATTTCTATGTCTCTTTCAGATGGAGGGTTTATCAATGGTCGAAATGTTCGAAATCCTGTGGCGGAGGAGAAAAAACGCGACAAGTCGAATGCAAGCAAATAATGGCCCAAAATCACACTGTAGACCGGCCTGCAACAATGTGTCCATCTCCGAAACCTTTGGACAAAAAACCGTGCAATACGAAGAGTTGTGTTATCGAAAGCGACAAACCGCAGATCAGCATTGCTAACAGCACCTTCATCCAGCACGACCCGAAAAAAAATAGAGTCACCGTTAAAGTCGGAGGAGCAGCCACTCTTTTCACTGGCACCACCGTTAAAGTTAAGTGTCCGGTGAAGAGATTCGACCGATCCAAAATTCAATGGCAAAAGGACAATGCATTTCTTCCGCAGAATAAGAAGTTTAAGAGCTCGAAGAAAGGAGCTTTAAGAGTTCAGAATTTGTCGATGCGTGATACTGGATTGTACACGTGCGTTGCTGGTAAAGAAAATTGAAAGCTATAGTAGATTTAGTTGCTAATAAAATACAATATTTCGCAGGAAAATCATCAGCAAGTATAATGATTTCGGTTAGGTCAAAGCCAGGCGAATTTCCCACATCCGAGGAGATACAGCGACAGTCCAAAATGGACATTGTTGCGGGAATAAAACCTCCTAAAGCTGAAGGCATCGGCAATTTCTACCCTGATGATCAATCGCATGAACAAAGGCCGGACGGAACGAAAAACCATTATAAGTGAGTTGAGTTTAATTGATAATATTTTTTCCGATCAGGGTTTTAACTTGAGTTTAACCTTGCTGGTATTGTTCTAGCATCAAGTTGCTGTTTATTAAAAGTTTTGAATATCTGGAAAATTAAAACGTAATCATTAAACATTACAGTTTTAGTCGTGATCGCGGTTTGTCGGAAACTATGAATTTTTTGTTCAAAGAAGTTTCAAAAATATACACGGAAATTCAGAAAGTGCTAATTTATAAGCTCGCGCTCAAATAAATGTGTGTGTTGCTCTTCAATTTGCTTTTTTATTTCAGATTCTTTACGCCTACTTCATCTTCGTCGAGTTTGACCCTAGATGGATACATATTGGATTCTCAAACAACAGAGGATTCTGGAAACAAGCGCCAGGTGTATAAAACAGAAAATCAACTAGCATTTTTCTTTTAATTAGTCCTGACTTTCCTTATTAGTTACTTGATTTGCCTTAAACCATTAACCAACTAATTGGATAATTTAGATCACAACTGATATTGCTTGCTAGTAAGTTATTCTTGGTTCGGGTCTTATAAGCTAATTTATCGGATTTATGGGCATTTTATTTGGGGTATTTACGAAACTCGCAGCAAGTTAATGTACAATAGCAATTCGCTTTAAATATAAGTAATCCGATTAACCCCACTAACAACTTACTTCATTTCGATTTGCTGCATCAAGGATAAAATATCAAATCTACCTTCGAGCTCTTCAGAGTTGCTGAATACCTCGAATTATGGAGATTCCAGGAGTTCTGCAAGTCGTGTTATGCCGAACTTTCTGTCGTTAATCTCCAAAATACAGGTTGGAAAGTTTACTTTACTAAGTTCTGCAACTAGCTGTTGTGTGTCGTAGAAATAGTTGCCAATGTTGTTTCTCCCATTAAAACGCACCGATTAACTATTATTAGTTTGTGCCTAGCAAGACTAGGGCAGCTTTACTCAATGAATTGCTTAGTAGATTATTGCTAACTGGCATGAACGGGGTCTTAATATATCAGCATTAGCAGATTTTGAATTAATCAGTTTTTACTTTGTTGGTCCGTTTTTAAGACTAAAACTAGATTTAACTCTTCGCCTAAGCCAACTTATTTTCCAAACGGTTTAGCAAACGAATGCATAATTATCTCGAATGATGCGGTTACTACTCAGGTCAATTTTCTTGCAGAAGAACTTTTTAAGTGAAAGCATTGAGTTACAGAAAGACCCAGTATATTTTTCAATTCGCATCAGAAATATACAGGGTGATTCAAGTGACGCAAACTTAAACGAGATTCCGGTCAGCAAAGTATGGAAACATTTTATATAGGCCTGGGTCCAAAAGAGTTTCGTTCTAAGATTTATTTACAGTTTTTCACTCTGAGGAAATCAAACTGCGCGAATCACAGAGTGATGTGCCAAAAAACACCTAAATTTTTGCAGTCTCAAAAGGCGCTCAAAAGTTCTGTAGGTTTCAAACCTAATTGGTTTCAAAAAAGTGTTCATCAATTTTTGAATGGACTTCGTTTAACAACTTTGAGCAAAAACAAACAGGATTGTTGATTATTACCAAAAGATGTATTTAGAACGAGTTGAGGTTTTTATGGTGAACACAAAATGTAACCATCTTTGATTCACGTTTAATAATTTTATGATTTTCTCTCAAGGTCTGTTTTCTTCCATTTTTAGGAACTGTGGCCTTTCCAGAGTTTAAAGTTCGATTCACAAGCCTCCAGAGGCCACAGAATGGTCACATTTCCTATCAGCTCCGAACAAATCCCGGCCACCGAGCAACCAATATCTACCACGATATCGGATGAAATTAACGAAGTAGTTCTGGGTCGAGGTACCAAAGAAAACCTTGTTTTCGAATGGAAGCTCAGCGAGTGGACTGATTGCTCCGAAACGTGCGGAGGAAGTGGAATTCAAGTTAGAACAGCAAGGTAATGGAAACAGTTTGGAAAAAATGTTTTTTTATAGAAAGAAACTTCTATTCATAATATAATTTATTATTTATTTATTGATAGACTTATTATATTGTAATATAATTGTTTTTCTTATCAAAACCGTGATATTTTGAAGTATATTATTTTATTATGTAACTGGTTACAATCGTTTATAAGAAGTAACTAGAATTAATTAAAAAGTATCACCAAGAAAACGAAGTCACTTCCACTAAAATCACTAAACGCCATTACACTTGTTATTAGGAATAACCTAGAGATACCAGATGTTTAAAGTTCAAATTTTAAAATCTCAGTAAAATTGAGTTCGTTTATTTGTCGCAAATATTCATTAATGCTTTAGGTCGGTAGGTTAGCGTGAAAGTAGCAATTTGCAAAAATCTGTATTCAAATTCTCAGCGTAAGATGATTTCCATTCATATATTCAAACTTGTGTTTATAAGTAGAAACTCCACTTTTCAAAAAAAATAATAAAAATAGGTATGCTGTTATTTCAATTTGATCGGAATGCTGAATGAATGCATTCCGCTTTTTCTATTCAGGATGCGAAGTTAAACGGCTATAAAACAACTAGCTGGTTAGCCAAAAGTTCGTTTTTCCATTTTCAATTGCCGACGGAAAAATTGTTTATTGTCTGGAAAACTGTTGGTTTTTTTTATATATTTTCACATACAAACCTAAATATAAAACGAGCTTTTTTATATTGTTTATAACTTTTCAAATTATGTCTCAGTTTAAAACTTTTAACGCACAGTTTCAGGAAATATTTATTACATTTTTTTTAGATCTAATCAGGAAATAATATGTGGTACTTTATAGCACTATAATTACACATTTGACCTTAAATAAAATCAAGGAATAGTTACGTATAAAAAATGGAAACTTTAAAAATATTAAAACTGTGCAAAGTATTAAAGTATTTAAAGAGGATTTTCGACATTTTTTTTGATTGTATACAATAATATAAAGTCAATAATTAGCTATATTCATTTTTTTAGATGTACGATAAAATTGCATGATAAAATTCAAAGCGCTGATAATAATTTGTGTGAAGATGCTGGAATTAAAATACCCAGTACGATGCGCAAATGTGGCTTCGACGAATGTCCTCAATGGAGCGCATCTGACTGGATTTCTTGTGAGAGAGCCAAATGTTTCGCATTCCACAAAGGTAAAATAATTGAACAAACCATAAAAGCGACAGAAAATAAATTGGAAATGGTTCCAAAACCATTTGCCTTTTAATTTTTTATCATTTGGTATTAGTCACAATTAGTAACAATAGTTGATTAATAGAACCTGGATACCTGGAATATAATAAATTATTTGACTTATTTGCAGCTATTCAAAGGCGAACAGTTTCGTGCCAAATAGCGGGAAATTTAACAGTCGATTCTGACCAATGTGTCTTTAAAGAAAAACCTACTCAGAGCCAGGAATGTTACAACCCAAAGTGTGTTGGAAGGTGGAAAGTAGGAAGCTGGTCGCAGGTAAAAGAAACTAATCTGATATTTCATAACATAATAATCCAGCGTTAAAAATATGTTTTTTCACATTCAAGAAAAATAATCCGTGTTCCGTTTCGTTAATTAAGCGACTAATACCGGAAAGTTGAAGTATGCAAAATTAAAACAGCATATTTTCAGCAAAAAGCAAGCAATTTTACTTTACTTATCAATAACTGTTTTTTTAATATTATATTTATTGATAATTTTAAGTGCTTTCGTTATTTCAGTGTAATGCCAAATGCGGAAAGCAAGGTGAAAAATACCGTACTTTTCATTGTGTTTGGTATAGGACAAAAAAATCGGCAGGTGATGCTTGTAAAAATGTTCCCAGGCCTCCAACTCGAAAATCTTGTAAAGGACCTCCATGTGATAATACCGCAGGTGAGCACGTTAATTAATAGTTAAGTCGCAATAATAGCAGGAATTTTTATTTATCGGGAGTCTAGAAATTAAACTCCACAACCAACAAAACCAGCTCAATTAATTGAAGATTTCATATTTCATGCCAGTTTGGTATAAAGCGTATCATCCAGAAATACGCCCAAGATGCATAAGAAAAGAAAGAGGAACAACCCATTAAAACTCACATTTTTACATTGTATTTTTATTGATTAAATTGCTATTTCTTTTAAAGAATTACGCCAGGTTATCTGTTCTGGGATTTGTGCCTATTTTGGCATTCATGTTTATTATGCATATTAATAAATAATACATAGTATTAATCAACCGTTCATCAAATTCTCTGATTATGTAGAAATTATCCTATGAAAAACTGATATGAAATTAAAACTTTGATTTCAGTTCAACCCTGCAAAGACCAGTCAATGTTCTGCGCCAACGTTAAATCACTAAATATGTGCAAGATAGTCAGATACAAACAACAGTGTTGTCATACTTGTAGAGAAGAGGACTAAGACTTAGTGCTTATTAACAAATTATTAGGACCTGCTTCCTAAGTATTGTATATGTAGTTTTAATAAGTGATCCAGTCATCCAGCGACAATAAAGAGAAAACGTCGATTTCATCCTTAGTTCGTATTTACTTGTGATATTTTTTAACGTTTGTATATTCAATTTCTTGTTGCAGTCTCCTTTTTCTCTTTGATGCAAATGACTGGTCTGCGGTAATGTTGACTAATAAAAAATGGATCCTACATGTTTTTAGCAATAAGATTTTGATATTTGTTATCTAGTTATTAAATACATTAGGTTGGTGTTGCTTCATACATTTCCATTTGATATGTTACATAACATGTACAAATTTAGTATTATTTTTATATCAGGGTTGCGTTTCTTTTAACACTCCAATATTTAAGACTGACAATTTATTTTAAAAAGTTGGAACATAATGAGTTGGCAAATTTTAACTCTCAACAACTTAAAGAAAACAAAGGAATAAGACAAACTCTGAATAAAACACACAAATATGGACACATTTCTATTTTACTTGTTGCTATTTCTATGTTGCTCAGTTAGTAATTGTCACTTTCCCTTTCTTCAACATATCGTGGGTTTAAAGCTAAAAGTGACCAAGTCCAAAATTTTATCCGTCCGTATTTGTGTTTGTTGACCGAATAACTTAATATAAATATAAAAAATAATCTGAGCCTTCAAAAACTGACGAAGTTCCCCAAGGCCACAGAAACAAGAGCACTAAAATATGTTTTTAATGACCAAGTTTCCAAAAGGATTCTGATATAATTTTGGGATCGGTTTAAAAGTGCATTTACCAAAAATTTGTATTTTTATACTTGGTCAGTTTTAGCTTTAAGCCCACGATATTTGCCTGAAATTTTAAATAACAAACAGAAATAATTGTAATATAAGCTGGGCAACAAACCTCATTGACAGCTTCACTAGCCGTAGGCAATAAAACTGATAAAAGTTTAACCATTCTAAATATTCTGACCAGACTTTCAAAAATTGACTATATTTTATTAAACCGTTATTTTAGGTAATTTTTTATTGTAGCAGATATTCGAAACTTTCTTAATCGTAAAATAAGACCTTATAAAAAATTGGTTTTAAGGGGCTTTCAGATTGTTTATGGCGTATTTTTTCAACTAATCAGACTGAGGACTGAGAGAACACCACAAGCCACAACTTTAATTTAAAACTATTTCTCTTAAATGTCTTCTTGAATTCCACGTATTGAAACTTAAACATTTCAATCAAGTTATTTCTTACTAATTGGTTATAGCTTAAATACGTATTTAAATAAATTATGATAAATTAATTAAAACGCAGTCTTAGAACATTTAAATAATAAATATAAAATGTAGTTATGATTTGTAGCACAATATGATTAAAGCTGTGTAAAGTGAAGTTAAACGGGCATTCTTATTGGTAATTTAGGTCTATTAGAACTGCTCATTAGATAATTTTTATAAAATTAGACGCTGAGATAAAATTAACCAATTAATTCCTAAATTAATATTTCAATAATGCAGCAGGTTTTCTTTTGTATCAAGATTATTTTGTAAATATATGTTATATTGATTTATCCAAGACATGATTAAAGTGCAGTCATGAGATTTCAGAATGAGCCCCTGAAAAGCGCATTTTGAGTTTTCAAATTCTGGATTAAGGTTTGGTAGATATTAAAATTTATAATACTGACATTCAGATATGCAGTCAAAAATCAATTGGATAAAATTATCTAATTATTCGTTAAACAATTCCGAGCTTTCTAAACGCTTTGGACTATTATTGTAGGTTCAAGGAATTATAAATACCTACCTACTGGATTAAATTGTTATTGTTCAATAAATTGCCTGACAGCAAAAACAAGCAAACATTTTTAAAAACCTTATTCTATTCTTCTTAACTTTCACAATTAAAATGTCTTTAATTGAGAATTATATAATCCTAATAGGAAATTGTAAAGTTCTACTGGATCTAAGCTGTGCTTCAGATAATGCAATTTGCTATAGAAAAAATTGTTAAATAATGCACCAACTGCAGGTTCAGAAGTTGTAAACGTTTTAGGAGTCGCAGTTGTATAAGATGCCTTGTTAAAAATTTAAATAAATGCCATTGGTAACAATATTTTATGTTCCATCGATTCTATAGGTATAACTTTCCATTATGACAGGAAAATATGACCATATAAGTAATAATGCTAAAGAAACAGTATTTATTTTAGTAAATCAGTAAGAAAGAATTATTGTAGCATAAAACCTTATTATAGTTGGTGAAACATAATATCCTAGTGTCCTACATTTTGTCAGTATTAGCACAACATAGATACTTAAATATGTATCATGATTATTAGAATATTTTAGTTAACTATAGATTAATGAGATGTCAGCGATATTTCGAATGCAGCTTTAAATATTAAGAGAACAGAGCTTTACGTTTAAAACTAAGTAATGTAAAAACTGAATATAATTAATATTAACAAAAAATGTAAATTGTAAGATACTTTTAGACCATTACTATTATAACTATATTGTTAAAATTTGCCTATCTAAAATATGGTATATATTTATTAAGGCTTAAATTAAGAGACAAACGTTTTATGGCCATTAATAAAAACCTAATAATTTCCAGCCGAAATGCTTATTACATACTTACGCAGTTTTTTTATTGTATATGACCATTAAGAAACAAACTGTAAAATAATCAAAATGATCAAATAAAAATTAAACATGTTACTTAATTACATGAATTTCTTCAGTTTCTCAAAATATTCCATATGGAATGTGGCAATTATACGGTAAAACTTATAGTTTTTTCTCGCTTATTTTTTTCCAACGGCCCACTACATCATCTTCGGGTTGACTGTATAAATGTTTAAGTAGGCCCCAGCCTGTTCTTGCGGTGGTCAATACGTATTCATTACTAGGATCTTGCAGACTAGAATTTGCGCCCAGAACCAAAGATTGGCAGAGCCTTGCCATCACACATATCTGAAACAGTTAGCATTCTAATGAAAAAATCGTGCTATGCCCATAACTGCGAAAATATGAACAGCCGAAGCTTATGAAGGATATGGAGTCGGAAGTTTACTTGCCTACTCCCTAAATTTGGTCAACTAACAATTTATTCAGGTTCGATAAAATCGATGTATGGATTTGCATAATGCCCAAGTGTGAGCAGTGAAAGTGTAAATTTCTATGAGTCGTACTTGCCTTTAACAGCTTAATATCTTCCAGTTTCACTTCTTTAATTGAGGCGTAACCTCCTAAAACATATCCGCCAACATCGATATTGTTCGCTAAGAAAATCATATAAGTCATTGCCAGTGCTAATTCGTATAAGTAGCAGCAATGATGAGTATCCCCAAAATCTATAATGGCTTCAACAACTGGCGAATTATTTGTAGTACTGATAATTAAGTTTTGCTCGTTTACATCCCCATGAATTAAGCCTATAAAAAGTAGGCTTTGATCAAAGCTCGCTCCGAAATTACCTTAACTCTACCTTTACTGAAGCTGTTCTCGATGGTAAGTACTCTGGAGGAAAATTCGGCAATCACCGTTTTTACTAAAGCTTGATGTTTTTCTTCAACAGCGTTCAAATAATGAAGGATATCGGGAGAAGCTCCTAAGCACCATTGAGGATGCTTGTAATATGCTGGATGTTTAAAATCCTGTGTAGAATTTATTTATGAATTCTTTAGTTTTTCGCTATAATTCCTCCCTAGCTAAGCCTACCTGTAGTACTTTATCCAGTTCAGCAGTTAATAACCCGACTTGGTAAAATATATCCGCTTTTGGATTGGGTAACTTAAATAAAACATCTCCAGGAATAAATTCCAGTAATCTCGCAATATGTTTTCCTGATGGTAACAAAACTGTGTCAAATGATTTATGATTTTTCGTTTCAATCGGTCCTGGACATTTTATGTTGTGTTTATCTGTAAAAATGACATCGTTTTCGGTTCCATTATCTACCTCAAAAACGTAAATTGTGCAAATCAGTCGAAATAACTGAATATTTTTAGGTAGAAGGGTTCTGTTAGTAAATTTCGACGTTCAAATATTCCAAGAAGTTAATTAATATGGACCTAAATAAATTGGACATTATTGAGTACCTACCCCTTTATTGAAGCAACTATCTGAGGATGATATGTGAAATTGAAAATTGGAGTAGAAAAAAGAAAAGTATTATCTTAATAATTAATTAATTTGCTTTAAATTATTTACCATAAATCAGTTCCAAACACCGTCTCAATTCACATTTAGAAATGTTTTTCGGCCTTTGAGGCCGTGCTTTCCGACTAAGACCATAGATAAAGACTAAGACTGGTTCAACTACTGGATCCCCTGTCGTATTTATGCGGCCCGGCCGTGTGAGCTCATGCATGAGGAGTGGGCGGGGCTTTAATTGTTTGGCGCACACGCTGTTTGCCGCAAAACGCGTTTCCAATCTGGATTAAGAGCCGTTACCTCTTCTTTCTTATTAAAATTGTTGTCATGTTTAAAGATCTCAATGGCCCCTCTGGTTAGTCTCTGGTAATACCGTTGAGATTGGTGCAGAATGTCCACTTCAACCGTCTCAATTTATTAACTGCAGATATTTTACTCAAATATTGATTCTGCATAGCAAAAATTTGCATTCTCAAAAAAATATATTATTTTCAATATGGAGTAATGTGTTTTTGATGATAATATAAAAAATTGAAATTGAGTAGAACAGTGTAACGATGATACATGCAAGGAACCATCGACCAAGCAACCGGTTATATCGTGATGTTGGTTGATGATCGTGTATTAATACACGATCATGAATATTAGTGAAATATTAAATGTTCTGGATTGTATATTCTTGGATTGTCCATAGATTATCTTGTGTTATCTGGGTTGATTTCGGTCCGTTTCAACGGTTTGTAACAGAAGGTACGGAAGAACCTCCAGACTACGGAAGATGTTAAAATCATTCATGTTAAGATCAATTTGCAATTAGAAGAATATCAGCAGTGGCTATAGAAAATGTTCCTTCCATTAGCTATAGAAAATGTGTACTTACTAAATAAACCGTTAAAGTTTTTAAAAAATAGAAAAATTTAAAGAATATTTGAATTTTTACTACCTCGTAGATAGATAACGAGCTGTTGGTGGACCATGTGTTCTTATGATTTTTAGGCACCCTACCAAATTACGCCCTAAAACGTATGTTTAAAAGCACTTACTTAAAAATAACATGAGTTCAGTCTGAGCTTCGAAAAGCTTTTCATTTTGAGACTCTAAGGAATTAACAACTTTAAACACATATCCTCCTTTAAGCACCTTGCCGATACTTTTATTGTCACAGATATCCTCATCCACTATAACGTGAAAGTTTTTATCGTCGTAACCATCCAGTTCTGAAATTTTAACCACTTTCAACCCGTACAACTCAAAAACCACTTGTTTGGCCGTTTCCGAATCGATCTTCGGCTTATAAAACTGATGATTCTCAGCCATAATTATCGAGAAATTATTTCGAGCGAATAATCCAATTGATCATCAGCTGCTGATGTTCATGATTTAATTTTAAAGTAATTGCTTAAATTGAACACAATGGGAACTTGTTAACACTGGGAGAAAATTATTTATATTTATGTCTATCTCACCCACTGAACTCTGGCCTAAAATAGAAATACAGAGATAAAGAGATAACGCAAAGTCAGTAAGTAAACTTAAAGTCCAGATTAAAATAAAGATTATTTATACAATGAAAACGAGTGGATTGGAATGCATAATCCGAGGGTTGCCGTTTATTAAATGTTCAGGCAAAGAGTGATTTATTTTCGACTGCCGAGGCACGAAAATAAGCTGTAAAAATATATTAATTCTACAATAAGTAAATGAACAGCCATTTTATGTCACTCAGTGTTTTCCACATTTGACGAAGTCGTGTTTTTGTATTTGTATTATTATTATCACTATTTGATGCCTGAGTTGTTCCTAAAGGCAAAGTTGAGCAAAAGAGTTGATTGATTAAGCAGCTCATGTGGAAATTTTCCCGATATAGCAGGCAGCAAAAAAACCAATTGAGTTTTCGCGCAAAACGGATAGAAGCGCATTATACTTGAATAAGATTCATCTATAAACCTAATAAAAACATTTTAGGAATTTTGTAATGTTGACTCAAATAGAGGAATTTAATTTGCGAATGGTTTATTATTTCATTATTGAATTTATCCCAGAGATGTTCGGACATGAATTGAGAGTTTCTAATAAGTTCCTGTTCACAAATGGGGCGAAGATAGGAAAGTCCACTGGGTTTATGCTTTCGAATCCAAAGATGCAGGTTTGATTGAGTAAATGGCAGAAGATCGAAAATTATAATAAGATAAGCCGTATTACAGTTCGGTTTACTATCGGGAAAAAGTTCGGGGAAATCGCAAATGAGTGAAATTGGATAAGTATCCGAGAATGGAACATGCTCTGAGCCGATGTCGCACCCTAGCAAAGCTACTTGCCATCAACGCTTCCAAACAGATTCTGGAGATATTTTTATACAACACATATGTATGTATAGAGCTTGATATTCGATTTTCGATTCTTTATATTTTTTCGGTTCCTGAGAGTTAATGTGAGTTTTGAAAATATCTCAATTGATATCTGCTATTTTTGTTCGTTGTAATGGTACATTTTGTCACGATGAAACAGTCGCCCGTGTACGGAAACTTGGAAAATATAAAATTCTTTTTGGTTGTGTTCTATGTTGTAGATACAATATTGTATGCATTAAATGTATTAATTTAATACCGATGTAACCCCAAAAACTGTGTGGAATAACACCCCACAAAATCAATAAATTCGAAGAATTTTCGCGAAGAAACTGAGGAAAAAGTGCAAAAGTGCGTGATTAAGAGTGCAATAACGTATCCGAAATATAAAAATAATGTCGCTCATTATTTACTTCTTTTATTTGCTAAATTTATTGGCTTATTACGGTTAGGTATAAAAGTATTTAATTTTTTTTATATATTACTTATAAAGTAATTTAAAATTGCCAGCATAATTTATTTCGGTATCGTTAAATTAATGTTAAAGTTTTTTTCAGATAAAAAATTTAAATCAAATATATCTTGTTCGCCAATAGTTAACATGATACGCGCTTTGTGTCGTGTAAAACAATGTTTTTTCGCTCCTATTTTAATTTTTTTTCACAATATTTTTAGTATTTTTAGAGTGGGTTTACAAAATATGTAGGCCAGTTGCTAGTTACAGATGCTATAGTTATTTGTTATCCTTAAAATAATTTACACTTAAATCACTTTCACCCTAAAAATAATAATAATAATACAGTGATTTTAAAATCACGCTTTAGCTCATTTCTAGTGCTCTGTCATGGTCATTGTTTATATGTCACTCACTGAGTACGAGTTCAGAGGTGTTCTGTGCTGAGTTCTACTTGTCTTTATCTTTGGTACAGAGTGTCTGTCAATAGTTCGATAATCTGTGGTCTCTGCTGAGTATTTGTTTACGTTTCGCAGCGCCCCCATCGGTAGCTGAATCAGAGCTGAATTGGCGAATATCTTAAACAATGTACAATGTCGTTAAACTAACCTAAAATAAGCAGCTTTCTCTTAGGACTTTTCTCTAAGTTTATTTATTTCTTTGCTTGGGATTTACCCCACATTTATCTTTGGAATTAGAGGTGCTGTTTGATTTAGTGTTTTAAAAGTATTGCTTTGATAATCTAAATTGAAAGGATTTGTAGTTTTAAACATCACACGTTCGGTGAGGATCTTGCATGGCCGTTTTTAATTGGGAATTAAAATAGTTAGTTTTTAGCTGCAACATGACGACCGTTCAAGTCGAATTGCTCAATTTTATTGCCCCACACATATTCTATGTGACTACAGAACTGATAGGTAATAGCAGAGCTAATTTTCTTAGCGATGTATCTGCTCGCATCAGAAAGCAGCACCAGGGAGCCCTATTTTCAGTTGGTTCAGATGAGGTAACAGTCTTATTCTACTGATTTAGATATAGCAAAGTACCTTCATAGCTTTCAGTTTTTAGATATAGCAAAGTACCTTCATAGCAATTCAGTTTGAAAGAAATCGTTGAGCAAATTGATGCTTTATTTGTATAATGTGCTAATGTCTTAGTCGCCACATGTTCTTCAATTATATTGGTAACTTCTCTTAATAACGTCTACGAGTTTAGTAGAAGCAAATGCTTTACGATAAAATGTTTATTAGAAAATACAGGATATGTGCATGTGCAACTTATTTTCCTAAAATCTCAAATTATATAAGATTGTACATTACTTTTGCAAAAAGCATGTTTGAAACTGTTAAGGCCAAAACTCGATATTCTAGGCAAAGATGGCCCCAATCACGTGTCATTTTATAACAGTTCCAAATAAATCGATGGGATAAAAGCAGATTATCCAACAGTATGTTCAAGTTCAAGTTGGAGAAAGTCTGCAAGATGCAGAACAGATTGGCTAATTTCCCTTGAAACACTTTCAGTTTGAGGGCTCAATTTATAAAAGTTCATAAAGAAACCATTGTCTCTCATTGCGAGAATGGCTGAAATTTTCGTAGAGGCAAAACACACATTTTTTTCTAGTTCCAGCTAAACTTCTCTTTTTGCTATGCAGTTAGTGTCGAGTGTTTAGTGCCAATATTTTGATGAGACCTTTGGCCACAATACTGATTGAACGCAAAAATACTCTGCACTTCTTTAATAATCAGTTTTTGTTCAAGATCAGTGTCGTCCCCAAAGCGCTCAGCAAAACAAACGCCCGAAACTGTTTAATGTCGAAGTTGTGCCGAGCACTTCGGGTTTTAAAAAATAAATCTATTAAATAATTAGAAAACAAAACCAGTATTTAAACATTAACAATCTATCATAAGGAAAATACTTTTGAAACACCGAGCAGAGTTGTAACCCGCAATTAAATTGAAAAAATCGATTAAAAAATTTTGAAATTAGCAAAAACGTCGCCACAATTAAATTGAAATATGTGCACAAGTTTTGATACTACTATTTATTCAAGTTCAAAGTATTACAAATAACTTTGTATTACCCTGCATTACGGCCTTCATTCTTTTGCAATACTTACTGGTGCTTTTTATTATAAGAACATTTTTCACAAGTTAAAATACGATATGGACTTACAGGTTTTTTATATTTGGGTTTCAGATTGTTGGAGTTATACACGAACCAGGATTTGCCCGAGCAGTTATTGTCGATTCGTCCAACTGCGAAAACAATAGTAATAACATATTTTTCTGTTGGTTAGTTGATCACGCACAATTAATCAAAACGAATACAATTTTCAAATTGCCTCTGGAAATTCAAAAGGCCACTGCAAGATGCAAAGCAGCCAGCTTGAATAATATCTGCTACCTTGAAGATGTAAGTACTAACCTTGTCCAAATTGTGATTCCCAAATGAACACCAACGTAAAATGTTATTCTTTCGCAAGTTAGGAAGCCAATGTTTAATTGAAAGCTCAGATTAACGCGATCGTACAGAAAAACATTTAAAATTTTAAAGACCACGCACTGTTTTTTGGCTTCAAAATCATGCAGAGCAAAGTTTTTCGAGTTAACATCTAATAATCGTATCGTAGAAGCCTCCAATTATTATGACTCGACTTGAAGCTTTGAAGTATAATTAGTTATTAATAATTAATTAAGATTTGCATTTTTCTCTCGATTATTTTTTATAATTCCTGGTGTCTTATTAGTATGAAATCGTCTGATTGCAATTAGAGATAGACAAAAAATGAAACCAGCGTGTCTTTAATTCTGCAATCTACATATGCTGAAATTATTCTTAAGTATTCCATGTGTCTCATAAAAGCACGAACAATATCAACTTTGGTTTTTTAAATAATTCGCCTTGCAAAAGTCTTAATTTTTCAATCGTTTGCTCGACACTTTAAGTTTCTTTACAAAAACTATCCCTTGCATTGCGTATTTTGAATTGTGCAGTAAACCTGCTTCTTTCTTCGACTAACTTCAAAATTTATATCTCTAACCCTTTCTGAACAAGCTGTTGTGTGATCTACCACGTTAAAAATACACCCATGATCCACTCACAATTAGTGCTTAGTTACACACGCTAGTTACTTTCGAATCCAGACGATTTCCATTTTTGATCCAAAGATATAATGTGTAACAAAAATCAGCAGAAAATTGGAATATCACTATCAAACTAGTTGGTAACAAATCAGAGTAGCCAAAATTGAGCACATTTTAAAATGTTTTTAAATTTGCAATAAATTGAGTGCTTAATTAATGAAAAGTCATATTTCAGCATTTAGACTTTCGGACAACAAAATTTGCAAGAAGTGTACCATCCATCGCGCCTTCCGCCGGTGTAATTGAATGCTGTTTAGATTTGCTCTCCAACTACGACAAGTTGGAATTGGAAGTTGTAGAAAACTTCGAGAATATGCTAATTGGCGAATTGATAATTTATCACAATGGCGCTGTTTATCGTTTATCCGAAGAGCTGTGCAAGAAGCAACTTGCCACAATCAATGATCTTCTGTTTCAAAGTAAGTACTTTCTTATGTGTGTTTGTTGCTAACCAGTCAATGTATGTTATATACATAATAATAAATTTTATTAAATTAATTAAGCGTACAAAAAAAACGCGAATGATTCTTATGTCATGTAATAAGTGTATTATTTTTCTCATAAATGTTTTAATTTTGCGAATCATCTATTAAATTATTTCAGATTTAAAGCATAGCACCAAAGAATACATTAAAAAGCATATAGCGGCTATTCAACAAACATCTAAAATTGCACAAAAACGATTGTCTCAAAGTCCATCATCTGTTCCAAATGTAAATTCTACTATTATCGATAAATTATCTGAGTTGGAATTGGAAGAAATGGACCGACGCAGTTTGGTAAGTATCCATTCGAATTCATTCATACAAATAGAAGAATTCCAAATCGGCATGTCTATGAAACTAAGAGTTATTTGTAGACTCCTCTGGAAAATGGTAGACGTCGGAAGTTGTTATCTCGGTCTCCAGCTCTTTCAACTAGCTCGAGTGATACTGAGCAAACTGTTAAAAATGTCGCAATAAACCCAATAAACATTGAAAAACCACTTGACGAAGCCAATTGTGCTCACGCAGAAACTAAGCCTAAGAATTTGCCTTATCGACTCAAACTGTTATTAGAGGAAAAAAAATGCACAAGAAAATGTGAGGGCAGTGAAGTGAAAGAAATTAAGAAACCTGATATCCGCAAGAAGTTAATAGCTGCTACAAAATATGAAAAAAACGAACAGAATTCGATAACATCTCAGAAAGAAGCTGAAGCTATAATCGATGATCCTCAAAAATATGTTCCTAAGCCGTTGGAAAAACGGCCCGTGGATATTCGAAAGAAACTAATTCTATGTCAGAGGTCGAAGCAGAGGACTTCCACTTGCGTAGGCAAAAGTGAACAAGGTAATTTTTAAATAAAATGTTCCGAGTAAAATGTTCATTTTTCAGTAATTTTTAAAGAAAATTTCAATGTTTTTAAATGTGTGGTTCTTAATAATCATCCAAATACATTTGGTAAAAGGCATAAAGGTTACGATTCAATAATTTTCTTAAAGTTTTGGTTATATTATTTTCACTTGATCAGGAAAAATTCTCGCAAGCTTTGTGATTAATCGAATCTTTAATTTTTCAACATGCAGATTCCAACAATAAACAGTTTGACTCCAGCAGTACATTTGAGGAGCCTACTGGTATGGATTCAAAATCAGGTAATTTCATAGTTTTAATCGGTAGTTTCATAGTATTTTCTTGCTGACATGGTACATTTGCTTAGCTCAGAAGAAAACGTTGTAAATATGCTATTTACTTATTCAGCATAGTTTTTATAGTAATATTAATTATTAAAAAATTTATAAGCGACGTTTAGAAAATTAAATGTTTGTTACTTTTATTACAGAAAATTCCGTATCATCTGCCGAAATGATTCCTGAACAATCCAGGAAATGTCCTAATTTATTCCCGGCTGGCATGGAAAGACGCATTGAAGTTTCAAAAACAAAGATCAAAACTTCTGAAACTGTTCCAAGTACCAGAACGAACAGTTCCGCAACAGAAAAAAACAATACTATTAGGTCGGCATCGGATGATGACTGTCTTACGATAAAGGTGTGTTACCGATAATAATATGAAAATGTTACAGCATGTGAAGAGTATTGAAAAGCTAGTATTATTAAAAGTTTGGCTGAAAACTTGTAGCTTTTTATATAGCCTTTCCAAAAATTTCGATACCGGATCGGATATACCAAACTAAGGTCAGCCGATTTGAAATTGATTTGTAGACGATCTTGAGCAAAGTTTTTAGAATATTGAGTTGAAGACTGGCACTACTACTACCCTGTTCGAAGATGGTAGAAAAAAATATCAAAATTTTAAAGGCATAGGCACTTTGAAACACTATCGCCGAATCGCGTCAAATTAGTCGAAGTTAAAGAACCATTTGGATTGAACGAAATTAAGAATTTAGTGTCAAGTCAAATAGAGGTGCCTGAAGGTTCATTTTTATCATCACGGAACCGTTGAAACTAACTGAATAACACTTTTTTTATTATATATTATATCTAGTTCAGTTTTCTTCTCTGATGAGATGACGCAAAACTTAAAAAATACAGGAACATTTACATCCACCTTTGTGATTTTTGAGCCCCGATTTCAGCTGGTTTTGTGTTCAACAATATGTGTTAACAATATGCGAGTTATGTTTTTAAAAATTTAAGTTTATCTCTATACTATAAACAATATCGAAATAGCCACAACATTTTTGGCAACAATTTGATAGATTCAATATGCAGATGTAATCACGTCGTGCTCTCAGAGTACACAAAAACGTTCTGTTAGAAATTAACGGAAATTCCTATCATTAATTGTGATGAAGTGATTTATGAGGTGTCTAGAAAAACTAGTTTTGTTGTCACACTTAGCGGAGTTAGGAAGTTTAACAGATTACTCCTAAAATATTTTTTAAATTTGATGGATTCACCAATAAAATGGCAAAAATCAGCTCATGAGCCCAGGATTTCAACTCAAATTTATCAACTCTTAATTTCTCAAGTCATGCTCCCAGCATGCAAAACCACGTTCTATTGGATTTAAAAAAAATCATATGATGTCATCAAAATATGCCCACTTTCCTCATTAATAACTGCCTAGCATTGTTCTGAAAAATATAAGTTACGCACAAAACGTTTATATTACCTATTAATTATTTATCATTGGCTTAATGGAAGATATCTTAATATTAAGAACTAAATTGGTCACAGGTTCCATTAAAGAGTCAATCTACTACTGACGATCAATTATCAGTTACCGAGGCCGAAAGTAAAACGGACGACAACCACAAGTCCAACTTATATGAACCAGCCAATATTTTCACCAAGCAAGATTTCTGCAAATTAGTTTCTGGATGTACTTGTGTAAAATGTCGAATTGATTTGGAAAACGATGACTGGGATGTTCCTCTTAGCTTTGAAACACCGTCCGACGAATTGACAATACATTCCAAATCAAAAGGTACACTCAACTAGCAATTCCCTGTTCAGAGCTTTGTTTTTATATTATATATTCAATAATACCAATTATATTCAGATTTAGCAATTATGCAAAGTTTTATTTTGAGTTATATGAGTTTTTTTTTTAATTAACATATTTTAGAGAAAATAATTAAACCTCCACTGTTGTTGAAGTCTGAGTCTGAAGTTTGTGCAGTGATAGAAAGTCAAATATTGGCTATTGATTACAAGGGCATGTCTTCAATGCAAAAAGCTATGTGTCGAAAACTTCTTGTTCACGGGTAAGTTCTATTACATTTTACAGCTCGTTTATTTTGCAACATTATTGTGGATTGTTTGCGTGATTTTTAAAATCCTCTCTATTCTGTCCATTGCTCGATTTAAGATTGTCTTCAATTAAAACTAAAATGCCTCAGTGTCGGTAGGTGACGATTCCTATTTTATCTATTAGGAAGGACAGCAATGAAAAAACCCCGAAGTAATATTTTTAGTCGATGTAAAAATGCGTTGTTTTTGGCTGAGAAGAATCATTATTAATGCCACTTTAAACAACGTGCTATTTTTAGGTTTAGTAAAATAATTTTTTTTAAATGATGCATTTTCTGTATCATTTCAAAATGTGTTTTTCAACTCACATATATTCAATAATTAAGATAAAAAGTTTTTTGTTTCGTAGAAGAATGTTTTTCTATACAATATGCCTGTAATTTTAGTGATTCGATACCAATTCCAATCAAGCACGTGGCCAACATCAACATTCACGCAGACATTTACAAAAACATCAGTAAAATCAACTACAAGGAATCGAAAAGAATTCAGATGTATGCATTCCCATCGATTACTCGCAACCAAAACGTTATTATGATAAACGATTCGCAATCAGGCAAAACCATGGCGTATCTCCCCATTTTAATATCATTCATTATGGAGAAAGAAGAGCGATATAGTAAACTCAACAAAATGGGAGGTGGGCCTATAGTGGTAATTATGTGCAGCAGTTCGAAAAAGTGTGAAGATATTTACGATCTAACTTGGCTGATTTTGGGTAAACAAAATAGAAGGATTAGCTTGGTGACATATCCAGGACACGGAAACATTGTAGGTCGGATCAAAATTTTCAGAAAATTGTCATATTTAAATGCATTATTTCAGAGCAACATTGACGTACTTATCACAATGCCCACAGTTTTGTCAAGTTTAATATCTACTAGAGCAACAAATTTTAAGCGACTTTGTCACTTAGCTTTAGAAGATGCAGATGTAATGTTGAAAGACCAAACCGAATTAATAAAAAAATTCATAAACTACAGCAACCAGGTATATTTTTAAGCATATTTTCGTCTACTAAAATATTATAAGTTTGTATTTAGGTTTTAGAGAATAGAAATTGTCCAAAATCCATTCAGTTAATTATGTGCGCTCGGCACTGGACTCCAGAAATCGAAAACATGTTGCTCAGTCTGAACAAGATACCTATAGTTTGCATAGGAAATCACTTGGAAGCTGCCCTTTATGGAAAAATGAAGTTTACTATGCAATTTCTGGAAGCTAGCTGCAAAGAACAATTTATGCATAGTAAGTATCTTTTTTTCTGCATCTTTCCTTAAACTCACACGTGTGTTTTGTGTTTTAGACCTATTAAAGGACACCTTCAAATTTACGAAATCAGTTATAATTTGCAATCGTGATGAAATAGATGATGTTCAAACGTTTCTGATGCTGAAAGGCATAGAATTTACATCTTTTTCAGGTGTTACTCAGCACGAAGATATTCTTTATCTTGAAAAGGTGTGGACTAATAAATATCGTGGTGATTTCTCAGGTAACCTAAACCATAACGTACTTTAAAGCAAATATTTCAATGACTTATTTTTTCAGTATTATTATGTACGGATGATATCTATAACATAATAACAATAACCAATGCCCATATGTTAATCCATTTCTCTTTGCCATATTCCTGGTCTCAGTTCATCAGGAGATTTAGTTGCCTTTTGGAAAACATCCAGTCACCTTTAGATACTAAAGAGGTTTGTACGACAAAATATTTTTATACAACTAAATAGCTTTTCATAAATGAATAAAAATAACTTATTTCAGTGCTTGCATATTATAACGCAAACTGGAATTTTAAAGCCAACTTTAAAATAGCCCACTTGCAATAATAATTACATATCTTGCGGTTCTTACTAGATGTTTTAAATCTTGAATAACACGATAACCACTAGGTTATTGAGTAAATGTTTATTTTGCCACCGGACTCCTAAATTATTAGCACAGCTTTTTAAAATCGTGCCTCGAATTATCTATATTATATTATACCCCTTTCAAATAGTTGTTGATTAATAATGATTTATTTATAAGTAAAATACGAATAAAAATATTATTTTTATTTAAATATTAATGAAAATGTCTGTTTCAGAGGAAAATCGAAATAAGTAGTTTTGTGTTGATTGATGAAAATTGTGAAGCGAGAATGTCCAAGTTCAGAAACTTCATCAAAATTGCTGGTCTTGAAAAGGCGCTTCCAGAAGAAATCCAAGCTTACTTTCAGGTATGATACAACTTAATTGTACAATTTAGATGTAAGTTTTCCAGAAGTGTTTGCATTTTTCGGAGACATTATAGTTTTATCAAAAGTTTTAGGTTTACTCTTACAAAAATTAATTAAGTATATAGCTCATATAGGATCAATTAATATTGAATCACAATTATTATTTGCTATATTTAAAACTGAAATTTTTAGGAAGTTTCTAGCTCGGTTTTGTTATAGAACGGCACGCTTCATCGGGTTAGAGTTAGGAGAGTAACTTAAATTCATAACATTCTTTACAGGGCCTCGAAAATCAGGAGCAAAATAACCGTGCAGACAGGAATCTTGAACTTTGTGGAACTATCAAGTTGTTTGGTAAATGCGAATCGCTCCACTGCAAAAATCGACATGTTTTGCGCAAAGATTTAGATATATCTGATCTCTTGCCTCAAAACGGAATTCTTAAATTCAAAATAGTCAAAATGATCACTGGAGCTAGCTGTTCCATCAAACTTCTGGAACATCTCGATTTAGAAGGCAAAAGTGTGCAGAAATTCGAAGATCTGACGGATCAAATTACCAACGCGTTAAATCAGCTACCTGACTGCCATCATGTTACTGTTCCTGTAATATCGCATCTTTATTTATATAAAGATAAGGACAAGTATTCTAGATGTAGATTAGTAGAGGTAAATGAGTCGGCATTGGTATATCTCCTGGATAAAGGGATTTATTGCACAAGTGCATTGAACGGATTATTCAAGATGCCTGAAGAGTTAAAGAAAATGCCTCCACAATGTAAGTACAACAATTGAATTAAATTTCAGCGATTTCAAGTATACATTGATGGCTGATATTTTAACGCAAAACTAACACCGGAATAGTAAGTTTTGAGTTGCTCAAGCAAACCGTTTCTGTTGAGTGTTTATGGAATTATTAACCCGAGGAAGGTTCAGTTCAGGTCACATGTTTAGTGAATTTGTTGAAAGTTTTCAAAATGATAATGAAATAAGTAATTTGGAGTTAATCAAACAATACTTTTCCTATCAGGCTATGAAGTGCAACTTGCAAATCTCATCCCGCCATTCGAAGATAAACGATTCTCGAGATTGGCAAGAAAAAAAGCCCAGATGTTAGTAGACCAGAACTGTAACGATGTTGTTATGATCGGAACCGTTGTACTGCAAACAGCAATGACTTTCTGGATAGACGATGTTTATGAATACCGTGTAATGCATGACAAAAAGTTACCTTTCATTGGATTTCAATTAACAAGAGAACTGGTAAGAATTGTTTTTATAAACCAGTTGTTTTAATATTATTTGGTTTTTTCTTGTCAGAAACATTCTATTAAATTTTTCCTTCCAGATCAAGCAAGGCCTAGCCATTAAGAGCAGGGATTCATTAGAACGTCTATATCAATTATGTAAAACAGCCCAAATCGATTTACCGGATTATAAAATAATAAGGCCAGTTGTAAAAAATGTTAAAGTGGATCAAGTGAAACCAAACTGGGCATTTTTGGATTTAGAGGCAATTCACGAAGTTATATTTACGTTTGCCAGAAGTCCTCTCGAATTTTATGTGAGACAAAACAAGTTTACCAAAGAGTAAGAATTTTCTCCAAGAAAACGAAAACGTTCTGGTCTTTTTAAACATAACATATTTTCAGATTGGAGCATTTAGAAGAAAACATTCAGATAGAAATCCGGAAACCATTTTATCCGATACTGAAAGATGTTTCAATTGGTAAATGCTGCTTATTAAGAGACGAAGTAAATGGTCAATATGCACGGGGATATATTCTCAAAATACTTGGGGATAAGGCTGAGATTTTATCAGTCGATTATGGGGACGTCGTAGAACAGGAAATTTCAGTATTAAAGCATATCACAAACGACTTAATTTTAAAACTACCATTCCAAAGCATTCAGTGCTCAATGTATGGTGTTAAACCTTTAGGAACGGAGTGGTGTGATGAAGCAACTGATTTATTGTACCGAATGGCATATACAGAAGGTATGTTTTGAAAAATCGATTGAACGAATTGCATAATTCAGAAAACGTTCCAATACTGTTTTAGATGAAGAGACGTTGAGACCGCTTTTCGTTAAGATTGATTCAAAGCAAGAAAATTCAGTAGTCAAGAACCAACGATCCTATTCGACAATTGTTAAAGACGGATTATATGGACGAGTTTTAATTAACCAGTTGCTGGTTGACTGTGGTTTTGCTTTATCTAATGATCAAGAAATTCAAGATTTTGATTTACCAGAAGTGAAATACTCTGATGATGAGGAAGATGATGATATTGAGGAAATTGAACGAAACGATTTAGTGGATGATATAAATAGTGTTCCTTGCCCAGGTGCGTTTTTTCTTAATAGGAATTGTTACAGACTAGTTTATTTGAAATTTTAGATAATGGAGGAGACTTAGACTTAGACGCTTTCGATTGTGAAGTGTTTAATTTAGTGGACTTTATGATAGACATGAAGTTGCCAGTGAAGAAACTTAATACTACAGACAAAGCACAAAGTAGTGCAGTTTCAAATCAATTACCAGCAATTAAAGCAGTTCCCGCGGTAGATTATCTTACGCCAGAAGTTTATTGGTCGCAAACAAAAACTCAGATCAAATTAAGTATTAGAATTTGTGATGTGAAAAATGTGGAAATGTTTGTTAAGCATAATAAAAGCTTCCAGTTCAGGTAAGATGATAAGCATAATTAAATGAAATTGAACTGAAATAAATCAATAATATTTTTAGAACCGAAAAGGAAAAAGAATATTTGCTCAACTTATTGCTGTTTGACAAGGTAAAAAAGTCGATTGAATACGCAATACTTGGCTCTGAAGTTCGGGTATGTTTAACCAAAATGAAGGAAAGTGAATGGCCTAGATTATTGTATTCTGAAGAAAAAGTACTAAAAATATATTACGATATATCGGCAATTAATATCGAGGAAGACGTAGAAGAAAGTAAATACAGACCTTTAGATCTAAATATAAGCGATTCTAGCTCAGACGAGGATGAAGCTGGTCCATATTATTTTGTCTGTTCTGATTTAGATTCAGACTATGACTTTGATATTCCTAATGATGATGCGTAGATTAGTTAGTATACCGTATACAATTGGCTGTGATGTAAGTCTTGTTTTTTTTTTGATCTGATGACTTTAGATTTAAATAAACTAACATGCACGAGCTAAATTACAATTTTATGCAAAGTAATTTTTATTACGTAGGAGTTTTTAGTGATCGTAATTGTTTTATTTACAAGATGTTACGAGAATGTTGCGGTTGAAAAAAGACTTTCTTGGGTCAATGTATTGGTTGTATTTTAGTAATTATCGAAATAAGTATATTATTATTAAGTAAGTATTTCTTATCATAGGAAGAGGGGTATTTCTTTTAATACCTTATTCAATACTTATACGTGAATCTATTTTTATGGATTCATAGTATAACGAGAATATGGGTAACGATAAACATTCTAATCTCCTTTGATTTACTTATTATTTTTTAAATAATTGAGGTTGCTCAAAGCTGTTCGGTGCACTTTTGTAAAGTTATGTTCCGCTGTGTTAATAATGTATACCGTGTCCGAAATATAATAAAACATTTAAAAAATAATAATAATTTCTATTCCTCTTACAGCAATTGATTTTCTTTTTATTTTACTTATCTTTAAATACGATAGATTCATAACACCATAAAAAACAATCTAATTTGAAATGAAAATGTTAGATTACTTCTTAATATCTCCGAGATTATGAAGCATTATAAACGATAAATGCCACCTGCAAATATTGATGTAAGTCAGACATTTGGCAAAACTCTGAAGTATTGTTTGCTACATGTTCACTTAAATTCAGATGCATTTTTTCCAGTACAGCATGGCCAATTACATACTTCGAGCGTTATTAGGGAAAGATACTGTATTAAACAAACAGGACAAAGAAAAAGTAAAAAAGGTAGTGGATAGCGGCTGTGGCGATTACGACTATGATTCAACTCCATTTGCAACGAGCAACGACAGTTTAATGAGCGCAACAAAATATGTTAACATCCCACCGGAAAAGTATTTTCATAAACAAGCTCAAAACATTAACACTCTCGTGAAGTCTTTAGAACAAGAAATATCCGAATCGAAAGAGGATATTCGGTATCTCCATAGCCACATTTGCAGCACTGAAGAAGTATTTCCCAAACGTTGGGAAATGTGTAACTCTTTGGAAAATATTTGCAAGGAACACGTCGAAAATATATCGATGGAAATGATAAAATGGAAGCGAGTAAGCGAGAGAAGTGATATAGAAATGAAAGAATTGGGCCAAAAGATCAGTTCCTGGCAATGTGTTATCGGTAGGGCGAAAGAGGTGCAGATTCAAGAAGAAGATTTCTTTGAATAAATTTATTTGTACTCTTCTCTTTGGAAAATAAATACAGACTACAATACACTCAAACATATTATGCACGTATAAAAAAAGTTATAATAGCATTTAATGCGGATGCGGATGCAGAAGTGCTACGTTTGTACAAAATGTAAAGCTTCTTAGTTGTGTTTTAATGGCAGGTGCGCAAATGAAACCACTGAAGAAGCCAAACACAATTTTTTACCAATTTTGTGACTGGCGCATCGTCAGATTCGTATCCCACCTGTTTTCGAAATACATTCTAATATGTTTTTTTCACCTGCGGTTTGAGTCAAGTTTAAAAGCTTGAACTGCAGAATTCTAGACATATTAAGTATAAAACATATATAATATTGTATATAAAGTTCTAGCTTTTACTAGTGCTAAATCGAACAGTCTTATTTGGACACGTGCCTTGATTAGAACATTGATGACTAGAACTTGAAGAAGAGTCTTCGACAACTCGCTTCCCATTTAAAACGTTCAATAACTGGGAGACTTCCTTTTGTAAATATTTAGTTTCTTTTTCTAATTGATGCACCTTAAAGACAATATTTAATGTAATTATAGGTTTTACAGATAACTATAGGACATAAACAAATCTGTTTATTATCGAATGCTGATTAAGAATGGATAAATTACCTTCATATTTTCCTTTACACTGTTGTAGTTAGTCGAAAATCTATCTACATCTATTTCAGATTTTATTCGGTTAATTAAATCATCCAGCGCTGACATAGTTAAAGCAATATCAGCTTTTCTGGGGGAGTGTAAATCAGTTTGGGCCTAAAATTGGATTAGAAAACCACCGTAGACACCGTAAATTATCTATTATTGAGGTAAAGAATAAAAGCGAACACAATACTGAAAGCGATTTTGTTCTGTTGTTAGTTAAGTCGTTGTTTTATACCTTGCAAGAATAATATTGTAAATTTTCAGCCACATAGTGTTCCTAAATATCATGTACACATGGAAGTAATTAGTTCCGATCTGCGGATGTTACAATTTCAAAGTGTTTTTGTTTTCTTTTGATAGCGCCTACCATTTGGACAAATATAAATTTACATCATTGATCAATGATCGTGAGAATCTACAGAGTGATTTTTAGAAGACTTTTCCATAGATTTTTTTAGTTTTGTGTTATAATTATTTGTTTTTTTGTGAATTATTGAACTCAACTTGAAACTCATAAATACACATCTTGCGAATTTTTAAATTGATCGGTTTTTTCTTTCGATAACGGCAGCAGGTGCGAGAAAGCATAACAAATAAAAAAATGTTCCAAACGAAAAAGAGAATGATTTTCGATTATGAATAAAAAACAAAAAGATTGAAATTAAAACAGCCCGTAGAACAGAAACAAAACGCTGCGGAAGTTCAGTTTTACCTTTTCAATATGTTGCTTCAGCAGCAAAGTGTCCTTGTGAGCAGAAAATAGTAAATCAGTAAATCCGGACTTGTCAGAATCGCCATTTCCGTATTTGCTAACTAGTTGGCTTTTCCTAAACAAGCCCAACTGCTGCAGTTTGTATGATTCTTTTAGATTACTCACATTTATCTACAAAATACGTTGAAAATTTAACTAAGTGTAAACCCTGTAAAACTAATGAAATCAACTGCAGTCATTCTACAGAATTCATACATAAGTGTCGATTTTCTTACGTTTTTTTTTATAATATACGCGAAAGTAAACAGACTTTTCATTAGCCATCTCGGTTCTGAATATTATAATATAGACTTCAGACAATTATTATATTTTTGTACATAAAATGCAATTTTTGTCGCAATTAATTAATCATCAATCGACAAGTGTTGAGCCTTTGAGCATAAGTTTTAACTACAGAACCAGACTCTCCATTAAAACCACTATTTACCTCATTAGATTTTTCGGTCATATCCAACCCATCGGATAATAATTCCATGGCTGCAGCATTTTTTCGATGTTTGTTAATTTTTAATTTATTTTCCGTGTGTCTGATAATTGCGTTCTCTTCATTTACTAACTCACGTCTCATCTTTTTCAATTCCTCTTGCTGCGTCTTAAGTTTTTGCTGATATGATTTGATATTTTCGATGCAAGCTTTCTCTACCGCTATGAAAATAAGCACACCAGAAATAAATAAAAATAGTCCGCCGTGTTGAAATTTACCAATTTTTCGTCGCTCTTCCTCATTTTTTTGATCAGTATCAATCTCAGTCTGTTTTTGCTGTTGCCGTAAAACATGCTCTCTAAGCTTTTCAGTTTCCTTTAATTGTTCTTCAAGATAATTGATATGCTCTACTTGAAAATCAATGATCTCTTTTGGGTACTCGTCAAAGGCCGGATAAATACCGCAAGTCAAAGAAGCGAACGGTTTAAGATATTGCCTGGGATGATTTTTACCACTAGTATTGTTCAAGATAAAGTAAGTTTTCTTAAGAAACTTTTTAAACTCTATCGGTCTTTGAGAGTGAAAGAAGTTGCAAAACTCGTCCTCTGTTTTGAGCAAAAAGAATTGCTTTCTGTTCATGGATATGAAAGCGACTACTGCACATAATAGAAAGCCAGGCTCGTTTATAAAAACATGATCCCAAAATATAAGCCATTCAGGCTTCGTGAGAACCTCCGAAAATGCTGTTTCTAAAAGAGACCACGAATATGTGATCGGTTTTATATCATTCTCAGCAAAATGTTGAAGAGAGACTGTATCGTGTTCCATTAACATATTGTCTATAATTGCCAAAATATTAACAGGGGGCAAGGGATGATATTCGAACCAATGCTGGCACCAATTAACTAAAAGGCAAGGCAATCATGTACTAAAGCTCAAGCTTGCCTAAAAGGACTTACTTATGGTAGTGCAGCACAACTCAAAACAAGCAATGGGCTTCTTATGAAACACTTTTACAAACGGAAATAGAAAAATCGGTAAAAACTCCACTTGTGTAAAAAAAGGGCACCAAACACCAATATTGTTTAACACATGCCTCAAACACCTAATGGACACTTTGTCCTCAAGAGGAAACTGTTGCTGCAGTTGATTAAACGCAACAAGAGTCATATGATTTATGATTCCATTATATTGTTGAACATTATTAGGCAGTCTCAAAATTCTCTCCCAAATCGTAGCTCGAAATGCTTCTGGAAATTCTTGATATTCTTTTATAATTAATTTGAGTTTATCAATTTCCAAAATATTTTTTATCTAAAACAAATTCATCCGTAAAAATAAAAAAATTAAAATATCCACCTTACCTGCAATTTTTCCGAAATATCTAGTTTTTTCGAAAAGTTTTTTAGCTTTGGTCTCTGTATCGAATTTTTAGTGTCGTCCCGGGCTATTTCCGTAATAGTTACTTCGTTTTTAAAAAGTAATAAACTTGTATCATAGATTTCTACTTGCCCGCTGCACAATAAACAGGAAATGTACTGGACATTGCCAGACGGACTGCTAAAGCTGAGTATATCACACAGCGATTTTAATTCTGATATTATGATATTATCTTCAATGTTGTAAAAATATATTATTCCAGTTCCAGCTAAAATTGCTAGAAGCTTGTTAAATCCGCCGTCAAAGTTTTGCGGAATAAATTCAATTTGTTTTACACTATGTATGTAACTGGGAAGATTTACTATTTTAAGTAGTTTCCAACTATCTAACTGAAATAAAGCTAGTATTGGAACATATCCGCTTACAGCCATAACTTTACCATTTCTAAAATAAAAAACGCTTGTTACCAGGATATGAAGGCTTTTACGGTCAGTCAAAGAATCGGTTGAAAAGTTTTACAAGCTTTTATGCCGTGGATCATTAGAATTCAGGCTACCGATAGAACAACTAATGGTCCACAACTTATGAACTGGGAAAACGGATAATACTTGTAATAATAATACGCGATTCTTACTGTACCGCAACAATCTACAAACCTAGTAAAGCACAAAGATTTGATTGAATGGTTTCTCCAATTTGAGGGCTGAAACTGCTTTAAATTTTCAAAGCTGCCATTTTGCCATATCTGAATTACATCATCTTTGTAACAAACTAGAATATGGTTTGAAATTGGAACAAACAATACCTAGAAGTTTGAAAAATGTGTTTTACAGAATAATCTGGGAAGAACGTGCCAATATTCTAGGTACTCTTCCCTGAAAATGTTTACAAGAGTAATTTTTTGTGAAATTTGATGAACATGAAAGCCATGTTATAAAAGCAATACAAATAAGACTTCATAAAAGTAACAATCTGATCTCAGTTATTAAGCTTCGTGTCGTGTATTATACATTATAAATGCGGTAAAGAAATAGCTTCCTTTGCTTAAATGCAAAGTGAAAACTTTCAAATACTTTAAGTGCGTATTTGTAAAGCAACAAACTATCTGCGAAATATTCCTGTTGCTCCAAATTGTGAATTAAATTATTTTAAGTACATAAGCTTTCGCAGCTTTGAAGCATGATACAAATTATTATATTTGTTTATAGTAAGTAGAATACTCACAAATTTCAATATACAATCCTTCTCCAAACATAGCATTTGTAATTTGCTGAAACTTATTAGATCCCAAATGATTGCTTCATATTTAGAAGATGAAATACACGCATTCGTATTAGCAAATGAAATACACATAACTGGATGCTGATGGCCCAACAGTTTTGCTTCAACGATTCCAGAATCAATATCTATCAGTTCAATTATACCATTAGATTTAGCAGCGAGAATATGTCTATCGTTGAATTCAGAGAACCTCATACACACTAAAGATTCGAGTTTTTTTAACTTCCAGCACTTATGCAGGAGGAAATCTACTATGTAAACTTGTGCATCATTATTGGCCACTGCTAAAAGGTTTCCATTGCTCTGAAAGTCACTGTGGCTAAATCTACTGCTTTTTCGATTGGAAGATTGAATGATGCTAAGTAGCAAACTGGAAGTGTTAAGTTGATAAATGGGTGTAAAAAGTTGCAAACTATATTATTGCTACTTACCCATCGGAGTTTGCAGTTTTGAGCTTGAATAGTTTTTTGTGCAATTCCTCATTTAAATGTTTAGCCACGTCTAAGAAGTCCATATTCTTATATTTACAAATTATTCCACTTAGCTTTATACAGTCAATAAAATTGTGAATAATTTGTTAAATATGTTTTTAAATTTGAAATTGGTTTGTTTTGGTTACTGGTAGCTGTCAGGTCTAGGGACATTCACGAGTATCGATACACAGAATAAGCACTATAGAAGCTAGCGCTGCGTGTTAAAGAAAGCGCGTTGCAGTAAACACCTAGTGCTTGTTTTTGTCTTATGATAAAGAAATAATTCGTTTTTTATTTTTTAAATCACATAATATTTAATTAATTGCAAATACTATTTTGTAAGCTATTTTATGAATTAAATTATAATTTTATTATTTAGAATAAAATGTATTTGATCGTTTATCTAATTACCTTAAATATTCCTAGTATTTTGTCAAGAGTCAAAAATAAGATGTTAACCTTAAACTGTCATCATTTCAAACTCGGAAAGGTTACATTACGGTTATTCGTTGGACTTTTGTAAAAGTAAATTTTAAATTTATCAGATTATTAAATATTGTGCAGTTAATCTAGTTATTTGTATACCGTGGTAAGCTGTTTTGTATTTATACCTCATGTACATAACAGTTAAAAGACTGCTTCTTTCTGCTTCATCGTTTATTTAGTTTTTATTGAGTATAAAACAAATGTGTATAAATATAATAATTCGGAATAGATACAACTGCTCTAAAATATTTTATGTTTCAGCTACATATTATTATTCTGTAGCCATTATTTCATTAATTCTTGTAGCCAAGCGTCTCCTTTGATCGGTTGTACCATGTTTTGAATTAAATGTCTAGTATAAAATTCATTTTTCAGTAGTTTGTTTGTAACTTAATCAATAGTAGGTACTCTTTCTTGCGTTATCAACTCCTTCTTTTTCTTTCGGGCCTAATTTAGCCAATTTGGCCGTTAAAATATTTCAGTCTTTAATGTTATTCAGCTTTTGGGTATTTAGATAAATATGTCTCGATAAATATTTTATGACAGTAAGATGCAATGTTTTAAACAAAATAAAAGGCTTTTGCTAAATGTAACCTCACCAGAATCCACTTTAAAACGCATTTCCATTTTCATTTTGAAAAGTTCCTATTGACCTCATTCCACATTAGATGCTGCTTTTTTTGTTCATTTAAAAATCTAATTTTTCAATTTGAGTATTTTTGTATATACGTCTACACTAAGCAAGTTTTACTTGCACAGATAATTAATTGCAAACACTTACATCGTTCAATATTTGCTCTTTGCACTTCAGAAGAAGTTGCACTTGTTGTTCATTCATAATTTGGCCGATATTGAGAACCTTTAGAAAAAATAATAGTAAAACGAAACAAGTTATCTTAGATATTAGAGATCATACATCCAAAGATATTAAGATACCTCAAATTAAGTGAATAATGGTCAAAACTGAGCAATATATTGGACCGTTGTTACTCGATAATTACGCTACGGTCTGAATTAATTTGAAGCTTTAAATCGATCTTTATGGGTAATTATCAGAGCATTTTGTGTATTTTTTTTATTTTCAGTAATGGACATTTAATGTGTTACTGTGCTACATTGGTTGCAGAATCGAATCCTAAAATGTAATAACAGCTTGGCTTAAATCCTTGTATATTAAAAAAAATCCAACATGCAATTGTTTTAAAATATTTAAATTTAGTTGTAGTCATATTGTTGAACCAATTTTCAAATTTGATACCACCATTTTGTCCAGCATTTTAACCCGGACCTTTGCTTGCGTTTAACCGACGAGTATTATTGCTCCAGAATACTCTACCCACAGATTAAAAATATTTTATTATGCCAAAACACGTTTAATTATATAGCTTTAGTTCCATTACAAAACTGGCTTAACAATATTTTTAAATGTTTAGGTCCATTAATTGTTGAAAAATGAGGAGATCAAATTCTGCCTCAAAGATTCCTTTGCCACCCTCAATGCAAACCGCAAATATGGAAGCGAGGAGAAGGGAACGTTCCACATCGCAATTGCGGTCAGTAAAATTTATAATAAATATGAATTTATAGCGGTAACGACAAAACATGTTTCCCTCAGTTTTAAAAAGCTGTAAATGTAATTAACTTTTGAGGTGTGAATTTTTATGTTATTATAAACGTAAATATTTTTGTTATGCGCTTAGTACATGTTCAACTGTATAAATTATTTAAAAGCAGACCTAAAAAAAATGTTATTATCAAACTAGTTGCCCCACACTCTTAAGTGCCTGAGGTTAGCGAACCTCGAAACTTGCACTGTCGTGTATTACATTTATCAATATGAGATGATTCCTAATACAATAGAAAATTGTCTTTTCATTGTTCAAGAACAGCCGAATTTACGCGCAGTTTTGCTCTCGGTTTCCCAGTTTACTTCCTTTATATTTTACTTTTACACCTATATTTTGAATCATGTCTGCACAGAGATTATTATTAAAAAAATGTTTATGTACTTATAATGTAAACTTTTTTAAACAGGAGATATACATTATGAGTAGGTTTTAAGGACTCACAGGACATTCAAATGTTTTTTTGTCGTAAGAATCAAACAGTTTCGCTCTGTTAAAAGAATGTTCAAATGTTAAAACTCAACAGATTGTAAAATATTACGCATTTGTATTACCCTGTTAATGTAGGTATACTTGAATAAAAAATATTATCCCTGATAATTTTTAATTTGAATGTGGCAGGGCGCAAAGTATGGATCGTCTTATGGTAACACCATTAGGCTGTTTTGGAGGACGTAACACTGTTTCCGCACAAAAGAAAATGTTGTGGACGCCTGCTTCGAGTTCTCGTGACTCCGCTAAAAGAAGTACATTTTCTCATCATGCATCGAGAGTAAGGGGGCACCTTTGTAAGAAGGCCCGATTTTAAACAAACTCTAGCTGATTAACATCTATTAATCGTTTTTTTTTCAGAGCAGTAGGCCCAAATCTCCATTTGATAAAAGGAAAAGCCAATTTACTAATGATAAGAAATGGGTAAATGATCAGTATCACAAAGTAAGTATTTTAACAAGAACAAATGATTAGTTGCATAACGATTTCTTAATTTAATATGATACATATTTCTAAACTAACAATAAAACTCATTGTTTCTGTTAGCAACTGCTGACAAATAATACTAATTAGCTTCATAATTATTTTCGTTGTAATTATTGAGTAAGAGTAATTAGAATTTCCCTTTAGTCCTCTTGATGTTTTTTTCTTTGGAAAGATTTAAAATGAAATAAGTTTTTATATCTGCTTTTATTACCTATTATTATGTGATAAATATACATTTGCAATACAATAAAATATATAATGTACTATTTTTATTAATAATATCTAAGTGAAAATTGAAAATATACCTAAGATGTCTTTATTTAGATTTTAGAATTTATTGAATATAGCGGATTAGTTAATCCCGAACTGGCCAAACAATTGCGACCACCTACCATGACTGCTTTCGCTAATTTGGTTTCAGTACTCTTTGAAAAATTACTTCCAAATCCCATACCAATTACTTCACTGAATTGTATAGAAGTAGCGGTACAGGCTCTTAAACTTTTGGAATATTCTGGGCAATTGAGTGTTACTACACTAAAAACCAGTAAGTTTGTTCCAAAATATTTTTTGAGTTTACCCTTGGGAATTTAAAAAGTTGTTTTTTATAAATAGTTAGTTACCATTGTTATTTTGAAGAATTCATATTTCGCTTGTAAAACTGGCTCCTGAGGTATTGGATAAATAATTTCATACCACATCATTGAAGTTATAAAAAATATAAATAAGTTTGCTGCTTTTTGGTTAATATTTATTTTGAAATTATATTTTATATTTTTAATTATAACTGTTTATGATGTTTTAGTTAATACTATGCACGGCTGGCCGAATTTTATATCGATTATATCATGGTTAATTGATCGAATGCAAATGCCCGAGAAAATTAGCAATGCATTTGAAGAACATTCTGATCCGAGTGTCCAAACGAAATATAAAAAATACCAGATTTTTCACCAATTTATTTACAATGTGTTTTCTGGTGCTTCAGAGGTACGTATAGTAGTTTTAATAGGCGAAAGCAAATTGTTGAATGTTGAAGTTCTACAACATAATTACGAGAATATTGAATTAAATTCGTTTATTTGGAAATATTTGAATATTTATATTGATGGCATGCCATTTCTTGTGTCTTTTTAGATCTCGCTATTTGCGAAGTTACCAGATTATCCTTACAAGAATTTTCAGTAGGTTTTTTAAATAATTTTTTAAAACGTTTTTAAATTAACCGTTCAGTAGTTACTTTCAAAAAATGTAATAAAAAGAGGTATAACGTTTTGTTTTGTGGTTTAAGTTCTGTATGTATCTAGTAGATAGATACATACAGTTGGAACTTTGCCATCTATTTGTGTAAATCATTTATTCCTGCAAACTTCAATATAGTATTTTATATGCCGCATTAAATTATTTTTTAATTTCTAATAAGAATATATACTATATCCTTAATTATTTTTTTAAAGTTTACTCCATGGAACATCCGATGGGTAATTAAATGAATTTTCTTATGCACATTACATCACATAATTCGTTTAAGTTTTTTTAAGCTTGATAATCGTGAGAAATTCAATCATAAATTTTCCAAATATCTTTATTAAAATGTTCTCGTCTTTTATTCAGCCAGACACAATACCTAATTTCATATTATTACCAGAATTATTCATAATTATCTTTCTAGGACGGTGAGGTTAATATTGAACTGTTGCAAGTCGAACTTGAAAAAATGCGACTTGATTTAAATGACATAATGGGCATAGATGAAAAATTCTACGAAAAAATCGAAGAAACTCTCCAATGCAAACAAAACGAGTTAACCAACATTTGTCAGCAAATTCAAGAAATCAAAGATAAGAATCTTGAGTTGAGTAAAGAAAATGTGCGAATGCAAAACACCATCAGTGACTACGAAGTGAGTACCTATTCTAATTAATTTGCATAGTTAATTTTGCCTTATAACTCAATATACGCAGTACAAGTATGTAACGCACATATGCAAAACAGAAGTTTACAAATTTCCGACCTATTAGTGATATGTGAAAACAAAGTACCTCATCTCTTTCTTAAGAAATTTTTTTTGTTTAAAGAAGCATTTCTATTTGATTTGCTAGTTCTTACTTCTATCCTGTATTTACTAAAAATAATGAAAACGATATAGTGTTAATAGTGCTATAGCTATATGGGATGCCTGCATGGCAAGATTATAAGCTTATACTGTAATGTTTCAAATGTTGTACTCTTCGTACATTTCAGGAAAATAAGGATATTTGGGAACAAGAATCTGCAGATGAAGTTGCGAAACTAAACAACAAGTTCCAAAAATGTAGTGTAGAGAAGGAAGCTCTGGTATCAGCAGTTAACGAATTGAAAGATTGTATTGCAAGCCAGCCATACACCGTAAGTAACAACAGCAAGAGTCAACCGTGTTTTTCATTATTTGCTTGGAAATTACCACATTTTTGTAAATATTAATAACCTCTTTTGACTAAAATTGATTATTCCACACGCGCAATTATTAGTACATATATTACTTATAATAGTTATTAAATAAATTATGTTTATGATTAATATTAACAATTTGTTTAAGAATGTTAAAAAAGTTTATTTTTTATTAAGCTTGTGTATTTTTATATTGTCAGGCGTATTGAAAAAAGGTTATACACACTAGTAATCCTTAGGTTAGCGACAAAAATGAGCTGTTGAGCAGAATACAGGATCAAAAGAACGCAATCAAGAGAAAAACAAAGAAAATTGATGAATATAGATTAATTAGAGACAAAATGGATTTGGAGTTAGACACCGAACTTCAAATGGTAATGTCTTATTTGAATAGGTGAACCTGGTGGATGAACAAGCTATATACTTTTAGGTGGAAAAAAGAGTAGACGAATGGAATGTCTTCATAACAAAATCTGTTCTACCCGAACTAGAATGTTTACGACTGCGTGAAAGCGGCTTTGCTGGATTTTTGGAGGTAATACGAAATGGATATTAAATTATTGCTTTTTTACTAACATAATAATTTTTCAGGAACTTGAAGCGCTCAAAAAAACGAAGGACATCATAGCAACTAAAACTCACCAAGAATATGCACACCTTATGGCAAAGCTAGAAATAGTGCAAGCGTCGAAAGACTCCCTAACAGTAAATCAAAAGCCAATAGAAATAGCGAAGCAAAAAACAAAGGAATTAAGAGCTGCAATTCAAGCTGCCAACAAAGACAAAAAAGCGGTTAGTGTTTGTCTCATTATAATCTGTTGATTTTCTATTATTTTCTGTGTGTCTCTTAATTTGCTTTTTTATTAGTTGCAAAATAGCAATGAAGTAAATGCAGTACACCTATTTTTCTCATAGATAATGGCCCAAGTTGAAGAATTCAAAACCCATCCCGAAAAAATTAAGCAAATAGGTTCTGCGGCTCACTGCAAGATCGCGGAGCAAAGCAAAATAATTAACGCACTTAAAGATAGGTAATAGTTTTAAATGATTATTTCAGTCTTTCGAGTGCATTCATTATTGCTTGTAAAAACGAAATATATTTTTACTATAGACGAGTAAAATTGGAGAACAAAAAACAAAACGTGATTAAGTCTGGATTAGCAGCTTTGGTAGAGGCACGTGACGCATTGTTCCAAACCATCAGTATATCTGAGGTGAGTAAAATCAAATCAAATGATCAGTGCTAAAACCAACAAGCAAATTGGAACTGAACAAAACAAACAAAATTAATCGAAATTCTGAGAATCTTATAGCCAACGAATTTTTCATATTTCAGGAGAAAGTCAATTCGATACTATTAGAAGGTTGCAAAGATGTAGAAGAATCCACAATCCACTTACAGGCAAAATTTGAACATTTAGTTAGTGTTAAGAAAATTTCGGAACAATTACTGAATACTAAATTGTTCTCGCAAGATACAGATAGAGATACGGGATCATATTAATTATTGAAAATAGGAGTTGATGTTCACTTTTAAAGTAAGAGTTAGAGTAAGTTATCAGTTTCAGTATCATTTATTACAAACATTTATTTAAAAATTATTATGATTAAATTTGTATCTTTCTTATATGCCGATTCTACTTAATACATTTCATTTGATAGTTTGTGTATTAAGTACAAAATCTATTAAAAGTTGAGTAAAAAAATATCAGACTACATTTCAAATAGAATCAAAGTAGGTAATGCGAAACTTACCGAAAGCTGCATCATGCCACCGGGAAAGGAAGAAAAACATTATTTTTATTTATTCGCGTAAAAAGCGTTGCATTACTCTGTATGCCACGCCTCATTCTTTAGTATAACGGAAACTAGTCCGAAGCAAAATTATTTTATATCAGCAAACTCATTTAAACCTAAGCGTTCTGTAAATAGAGATCCTTCTTACCAGCTATCTGCAAGCTGGTGTTTTCCTCTGTTTTCTAACCATTAATCGTCAAAAAGCGCACACTAAAATGCAGTGAAAACGCCTCACGGCACTATATGCCTTATAACACCGCACCAAATCACACCCTTAAGAAATTGAATTCACTTTTTCGAAAAAAACACCCGATAGTAAAGACCAGTAGACCGTTCCAAACGGACGGGGCTACAGAACTAATGATGATATAATAATTTGCTTCATCGCCCTTCGGATGAGTCATTGATTTATTTTGCTGTTCGATTTCAGTTTTTTTTGTTGACATTTTTGTAGAAAGTGCTTGTTCGCACGGCAATATTTTCAAAGACAAGTTTCACGGTCCAACCAGTTATTAGCGTTCTGCTCAAATGTTCATGAAACTTTGGGATCGCGCACCTGGATATGTTATGCAAAAGCAGCATAATCGCAGATCCAGGTCATGATTTAAGCTACATTTTAATATTTTATATATATTAATACTTAAGAATTTTACACTTGATGCTGTGCGGTGTAAAGGAAAAAATTATCAGTAAATCTTGCCAAGGAAATGTTGCCCTACTAAATGCCAGAGCAATTACGACAGGAATAAATTGATTATGAGAAAGCCTTTTACGCCACATAAAAATTAGGCTCATTATTCACAGCATTTTCCGGAAAGCGAAATTGTCAGAGTCCACAAAATCAAACATCACGCTGGTTCTATAAACAAGAAATATTTGGAAAGTGTATATAAAGTGACGTTGGAAAAACTCGCCCGATTATCTGACGTCATAGTTGATCAGCTTAAGCATATTTACGGGTCAGTTCTACTGCACAGATCACAGAGTAACCTCTGTTCCTCCTTGGTTCTACTGTTAACCCTACTTATTTGACCAAAACTATTAGCCCCGGTGAAAACATAAAATGAATGAGAAAACTCCCACAAGACGATCAGTGCAATCAACTTCTGGATTTTCACCTGTAATTGGTAAGTTCTGCATGAGTTTGGCTTGTGTACGCACTGACCAATGATACTTATTTGCAGTTCAGACAAGTCCTGCAGCTGAATCCCCACAGAAGAACTTAACTGGCCATCCAAGAGTAATTCGTGATATTGTTGCCGATTTGTATAACAATGTACAAAGGTGGAATTCTTTACATATTCAAGGCTGTGGCATTGTGAAACAGATTGCGTCTATGAAAGCAGATACTGGTCAAACTTACCCACCTCACTTAGATGAGCATATCAATGAGTTGCAATCGGTAGTGCAATCAATGACGAATATGTTCAATGTTTTCGCCAAGTTAGACGAGCAGGCAACTGCATTTGCCAAATTGCCCAATTTGTGGAACCCTCTATTTTTTTCAATGGATGCATTCAGCCTTACACGACTTATAAAGGATATATGTGAGGTTTACATGACCGCATTTAAGGTAAGGAACAATTTCATTTATCTATCACTTATTCTACCACATATCTACTACATATTTCCAATTACTTAATCGGCTATAGTTCGAGAGTTGGAGTATATTCATTAAAATATCCTGATTAGATATGCAATGTCTGTGTGTCTAATAATATCTATACCTTTGATAAAAAAGAGGTCAAAAAAACTACTGCTAGCAATTAATATCCTGGGCATATAGAAAATCCGCTAATTATCCTCACCAAATAGGTGATCCCTTTACCAATCACTTTATTCTGAGTTTTTTTTTCGAAGATGCCCTTTTCAAGCAGTTTTCATGCTTGAAAATCACGTTGTACTTGTAGTAATAATTAGAATCTATAATGACGAAATATCAATTGTTCTATTAGAGAAGATCATCTGTCTTGAACCAGAAATGTTTTTCATGTTGAAATAAGTGCAAATTTTTATTTGGAGCACAAATCCATTGTGCAGTTATTTATAATTGTTTTTGTGTACGATTGTACTATTCTGTAATTTTGGAAATTAGTTCTTATAAGGACTTCGTCACAGCTATTTTCAGATTATATTGCCATGCCATGGAAGTAAGAGTGATTAGAAAAGTAAAATTTAATCGCTTTAACAGAAGAATGAATAGTTGTCTCTAATTGAATTATATTTCATAAATATTTAGTAAGAATTTGTATTCCACTTAAAATAAGATGCGTTAAGAGAAGAAGATTAGGTCAAGTCCGATGAATCAAATAGTGTAATGGGATAGTAATAACTCGATATGGAGTTTTTTCAAAAGTTACAGTTTAAGGAAACAAGTTCTGCAACGAAATCAACTTTAAATGGTTTTCCCCGCATGGTGTTAGTGCTTGTTTTTATCAAGTCTAGACTAACCCAAACTAACACAAAACTGTTTCAATTGTTGCCTGTGAGTACTGGCCTAGTACATAATTTGAAACCTCACCGATCAAAATTGCATCGTTTTAGCAAAATATCATAAAGGTCAATTATTTTCAAAACCTTCTGGCAAACTATGGTATTTTTATACTCTATATTTTATGGAAATGCTGGTCTTTAATATGGAACAGTGTAACTTAGAGCTATCGAAAAATGTTTAGTGTTCCTAGTAGGTATCCGGCATTATTTGATCTTTTCGGGTTAAGCGTGATTACTAGGTAGTAGACGGGATTATTCTGCATGCATTTCTCGGTATTGCTTGGCACCGTGGATGCCGGCCACATGTGCAAACTTTGAGCGGGATTTTAACATGTCAGCCCTTAAACAGCTTCAAACTCTTATTTGCTCATTTCCGTCTTAACTACCTGGCAATAACCATATGTATTTATTTGTTTCACCAGAACTGTTTTCCTTTGTTCACCAGTCCTTTGGTTAAAATTCGCATCAGTTTTCAAAATTAGGGGACTATTCGAACCAGCTTGAGACTATAAGCTGGCGCCACTTTAAAACCTTGTTCATTAACGCAAGTCTACTTAAGGTTTTAATGAAGAACCATGCAACGCAGGTACTTATAAAAATCAACCCTTTTTGATTATTCAGGTTTTGTTTGGAAATATTCTCGGCTGCAAAAATCCGATTGTCGATTTTTTATATAGCTTTTTATCGTTTTAAACAACGCATAGTTCCACCGTATAAATTAACCGTGCGATGGTCAAAAATCACTTAAAATGTATAGCTTTTCTAGAAGGACTTGGAAGGAGAAAATATCTCATTAAATTATCAGTATCATTATCATATATATATCAGTATTATTATTATCAGTATCACCTTTTTGAAACTGTATTTTTCTGAAGGTTTTCACTTATTCTATAGTTTCAATTAAATATTGTTCATTTTGTGTGTTTGATTTACATACTACGATTTCGTTAGTATGCTCCTCTTTAAATATTAAATTAAATAGAAAAGAGAAACAAAGCCACATAATCACGCTTTGTGAATAATAATACACATATGTATTGAGTTTCCTTGTGGTTGCCAGAAAAATACTGTAAAAAAGTATGTACTGTATAAAAAAATAAATAAAATACTGTAAAAAATGACAGAATTAAAAAAAATCCGTTGTTTAACTCTATATCAAGAAAAAAATACCCCTTCAAAATAGTAACATTTTATCATCCTATACCTTATATTAGTCTATAGCGCAAGATTAATTTTCATTAAGTCTCTTAAATCGACTGGCAATTTCAAAACGTGGTAATTCCAGAAAATATTTTATTAAGTTTTAGTTAGTTGCTTAATAAAAGTTCCTACCATCTGCATATCCGCCACCTCATTTCAAATCAGAAGTACCTGATTCTAAACCCGAATCTGCAGGTTCCTTAAACTTTCTAGGCAAAAATGTTAAATTAAAGGGCATTTCTTTCAGGCAAAACTATGCGTTCTTGAAAACATTGGCCACTCAAAAACCCATACTGACGCAATGTTTTGGGCTATTTCTTGGACATACGAGGTGGATATCGATGAGGATACATCTTTTAAATTGCAAACCCTCTTAGTGGAATGCGGTCACACAGCAATTAGTTAGTGGATGCTATGAAACATTTCAACAAACTCGTATTTATTAGCAACTTGACAAATTGAGAGTAGGCAAAAAATTGCCCAAATAGAATTGAACATATTAAGAGACCATGAAGCACAAATATTTCGTTTTTTTGCGATGTTGGTTTATTTGGGTAATAAAAGTGTTGAATAAGGTCAACATACATAATGTATAAAACTGAATGGGTATAGGAGAATTAAAGTAGTAATTATAAACACAAAGAAATTGCTACAGTAAGTAGTTTATTTATTTAAAGAAAACTGCTAATATAAAAAATCAACTAATAGCCATAATTATCATGAACAATTTATCATTAAAAATTAAGATTTACCATATGATACCTATAAATAGATGAAAAATGATCATAAATATTTGTCAAACATTAATATAACAACTGTACATAACATGACAATCGATTTCCTTATAATATATGTATAAGTATATAAGCATAATACCCATCAATAATAAATGTTAATAAAATTTGTATACACTACAAAAAAAGGTTAAAATGTTAATAACGACAATGGAAACTACAGGGTTATTTTGTAAAGTCAGTGCTTATGATAAGGTTAAGTAAAGAAATAAAAAATAAAATTATTGTCGTCGACTTCGAACTTGAATAGATGTATAATGATGGTTGTAGATAGATATCTTACAAGAAAAATATAACTGTACAATTGGTACAACCGCAGTTCTATAAAATACTACTAAATACCTATAAGCTCAACACATTCGTGTTCCATATCACATTCCATTTTTCGCATATAATTAATTATATGCAATTTTTTGGCAGCCTTAGTTCCTAAGTATACGGCAGATTATTTCCTAGATGACCTCAATCAACATCATCGAGCTCGATATCAATTTGGTTTGGGTTCTAAAAATTAAAATACTCCTTAGAACCAGCCTATGATGGTGGACATCTATGAGCAGGTATACAAATAGCTTTGAGATGGCAACTTACATCTGAAAGCAATTCGAGCTCATTTAACACGAACTGTTCCAGAAAATCCATCTGAGGGAAGAGCAGCCATAGTGAATTTCTTTCATATCTTATCATCCAAATAACTTCATCATACATTCTGTAGACGATGCATAACCAGCGTTTTTCGCAATACGATTCTGAAACAAAAAATTATAATAAAATAATGTGAAATAACTAAAAACTGTAAATTCAATAAATATATAATATGAACAAAACGATTTAGGAAAACTCTTGTACCGAATTGGTATTGACCGGATACATTTGCCAAAAAGCTCCGAATCCGCTGGTAAAAATGTATTTTTTTGACACAAGATATTGTCGAAATCGCTGTTCTTTAGGTTTGAAAGCGAAGCTATCGAAACGCGCCTGGCTAAGTATTCATTATAAATCATTTGAAAAATAGATCACGTCCGTTTATATTTTGTACACCCTCGTATTATAGAAAGTTTTAATTTGTTGTTACAAAGTCCTTCAACATGCACGACAAAAGTTTTCGTACAAAAGGGTATAGCTTATGTGAGGTCTATACGGAAACCCAACTAGCATTCTTTTAAATGATCGTGTCAAAACAGCATGAAAGAATTTCGGAAATTGCCCAATACAACTTGATTGATTCATGCTATACTTGTTAGTATAGAATCAATTTTTCAACACACCGATCAGTTGAATTTGGGCCTTCTAATACTACCCAGTCAGGTAGGTATTCACAGTTTTTACAGAATCCTCCATTATTATTTAAGGGATATTCACGTTAACGAAACACCGAGATTTAAATATATGTCAACACAATGGTGTTACACTGCCCTTAGCACACAAGGTGGTTTATGATAAGTATTAACAATTCAGAAGGAGATAGTCAGTTGGGCAGGTGTCCCTGTATAAATTATTGCTACCTGGAATCCTGACTTTTGAGGGCGATAAACCAATATATTATCCGGGCAGCAGTAAAAATCGTGTTAAACCGATTGTAGGTCAAAGCAGAAATACATTCTGCGAAATGTAGCGAAAAGCGAATTAAAATTGCTTAAGAATGATAGAACCAATATACCTACCGCCTATCGTATAACGGGGTTACTTTGCACCACTTTAGGTCCTTTAGGAAATCAAGAAAAAGAAGTTGGTGTGTATACACTGGATGGAATTCAATCAAACTGAATTAAGGCCGGAATTAATTATATACACACTTCATTACAAAAACTTGTTTGAACTCTAGGAAATGAATCATACTATAAGAAGTCTGCTATAAACAAATATGGCGTTGGATTTTTTTGTTTTAAATATGTGCTTTAAGTGTATTAACTGTAATTAAATTAAACAATGTAAACATTGCACGAAAATTCTACTACCTATGAGATTTTCAAATATACATTTAGTTTTCTATAAATCTTATGTTTATCTTAAGAAATTACCGTGGATAAGATAATAATCCAAAATGCAGCGAATCATAAGTATTTTTCCCGAAATAATTTCATGGAATATCAGCAGCCATATTCAGAATAATGTTCACAACATGTGGAAGCCGTAGTCTAGACCCAATATTATTTTACTTGAACCAATTATGTAATATTGCACAACATTTGGTATGCGCCAGTTTTGTCCATTTTTTTTGAATACCTATTTTGTTTTTGTTTGGAAACATTAAGTTTTCTTAATATATCCTGAACATTATTAACTATTCAATTCTATGCAATATTGCCCTTATTATTTTCAAATTAGTAACAAACCTTAAAATTCCAGTGTGCAAATAAAGAGAAAAACGGATCAGAGAAGATAAGAACAAAACTGAATATTAACCATTGGTTAAACTATTGATGAACCTGGTTAGTAACAGTAGCAAGAAACAAAAACGTAGGTATTTACATAAATAGATGATAAAAAGCTGTGAATTACATCATGTTGCGTCAAATAGCCTTGCTTTGGAACTTGTCTAAAACGGGTACAAGACACTGATGGTGTGAAGCGACTGCATGTTCCGATAATATGAACAATATTAAATTATCTATAAGTCTCTCGTTTCCCGTTTATTAAACACTAAATTATAGTCTGATCAATACTTCTACAACCTTACGTTATCAAAATATTTTGTACGCTGAACCATGACTTGCATTCTGCAATTTTGAACCTCAGACAATTAAAATCTTGCTAGGTAGTTCAAAATGGACCTGTAATAAATTTATATTTTTCCCCTCCAGCCAGATAAAATAGACTAATTTTCCTTCAGCTTTAAACAATCTTACTTTATTCCGATTGGTCGTTTAACTGCGGGAATGAGCAGTTGAAAGCAATTGGTAAAAATGGTGAAAAAATTTAACGTAAATCATTATGGCAACCATTTTTAAATTATTTCAAAGATATCCATCAAAGTATGAGTGATCTATCTATTCCCTTGCAAATAGAAAATTGTTTTATAAACCCATTGAGATTTTATCGATTTAAATGATTCATATTTCAGACATTTGTTTTAGTTTTAAGGTTCTCTTTTAGATAAGAAAAAATAGAATCGAACAGATGTTTCTGACTTATTTGCTTAATTTAATTGCAGCTACTGGCGATTGAGTGCACTTTAAATATAAATAAAATATTAAACAAATCTATAAATTATTTTTTAGTTTTACCTAGACATTTATTGTATAAAACTCTAAACCAAATTTACTTTATGCCGTATGATGCAAAATTAGAGTCCTGTTCGGTTGATACACTTAAAAACATAAATTAAGTCACCATCGCCAAAGTTACTAATCGCAAAGAATGTGTGAGCAGAACAGATTTATTTCAAATCATATTTTGTAGAAGGCTGAGAACTGAAATATTAAACAGTGAGACGTGTGGGTTGGAAGAAATTCATTTAAATTTCAAGGATTTCTTTCTTGGGGAAACGCTCGGGCAAGAACTTTTTTGTTTTTGCTACGGTGCCTGATGATAACTTCATTTTTACACGTTGGTTGAAAATAAGTCACAATCATAAACTTCGCTTTTCGGTTTCAAATTTGAATTCAGTGTTATATACTAAACTTAGAAGGTAACGATAAATACCCTATTAAATATTTCAATAATAAAGACCCTTGCTTTAATTGCACAAAAAGATTTTTTTTTAATTTGAGGTCAAAGAAAATGTGGCAATTTTTTGTTGACCATTGGCAAGCCAGCCAAGACTAGGTAATGCGATGTGATTTCTGTAGATTTTTTTACAAACCAACCAAAACATTTAACTGTGTTTTTATTCTGTATAATTTTCAATTCTGGTATTTTTTTATTGTTAACTGGTCATCGTTTAATCAAATGGTGGTACTAGTTTTAGTTGCAGTTCCAGAAATTTAAATAAATTATAGCAACCATATAAAGAAAACTAAGTTCAGGTTCAGTAATTTATTGAAGATGTTCTTGACCTCACATTAGAATTTTGCAAAATATTGATGAAAATATGCACTGCAAGTTAACTGCACTGCACCATAAGTTAAAATAAGACGAGAATCCAAAAATCGATATGTTCGAGAATTGTTGTTTTCTGTTTTATATTCTGGTTCACAGTATATGTATTACAAAAATATTGATTAGCTGAAGAAACAGTTTGACAACAGAACAAATAAACTTCTAACGATTTTTTCAATAAATGTTCCATATTATTGCAATTTCAAAAATATCCTAAAAGAAGTTTTTTAGGAATATTAATTTTTGTTAAATCAACTGCACTGAGAGTTTGATTCGTAGCTAATCCTTTCATCATTCAGATAGAAAGAGTTGAGATATACGGCGTGTTACACCACAGACGCCTTCTATCAATATACGGAAAAATTCGTGCAGATTTGACCCAGAAAGCGAAATTTGAATATTAGCCATTTAGATTAGGCCAAAATTTTATGATTTCCGTCCCGTTTTTGCTCATTTCTCGGAAGCAAAATAAGCAAGAACGCTCACTTTTACATCATTCCAGAGAGAACTAAATAGCCTTTTTAGAAAGTGAACGATCGGTAAGGAAAGGTTGGCATTTTTCTAAAAAAAAGTTTTGATTTCAAGAAGTTTTACATTTGCGTGTTTTTTTTTTTAGTTGCAAAATCGACTCAAACATGACACCGCTTTTTTCGAAGTTTCTTATCCCCATCTGAGCTACAGAATTCGTTTTAGCATCGTTAGATAGCGAATTGAAAATTCAATTGTCATTTCATGAGTGAGGGAATTTGAGTAGTTTTGACTCAGAAAGCGAAATTTGAATAGCGATGGATCCAGCTTTCGAGTAGTAGAAATGTAGTCTTTTGTTGTCTATGAAATTAGAAAAATTGCCGTTAGTCGACATAAATCCGGCATGGCCCCATGACCCTCCTTAATGGATCAGCCCTTGAGTACACTGTGATTAACCACTGATAATTAAATTACTGTGATAAGTGTGATATAGCTAGTGGGTACATGCTAGACACTTAGTCACGGTCTTCTCACCAAATTTCAAGCAGAAAGAATTTTGCATCAAAACGTTGCTTTGTTCGAATTGATTTAGACTTTTCAGTATAACATCAGTCATAAATACAAACGAAAACAATAGAAAACAGTAAATACAAATTTAAGTACATGTTATTCTAATGTGTTAGTAGTGTTTACTATATTTCGTAATAATACATAAGATAACAGATAAACCTGGCGGTGTTTATTTTTCTTGTGTATATTATTTATAAGTTTTTTTTCGTGTGTAAACATAGGTACCCCCTAACATTGATTAAATCATAATCATAAATAATTATTTCTCCAGAAGCTGTAGAACATGTGCAAATTGCCATAATTTCGTGACTTCAATTACATTGAATATTTGATTGGAAAGCTCATGTTGATTCATTGTGCAACAAGTTGAACTCCGGGCCTGTCCGGTCGCCAGATTTGACGCCGTGCGAATTCTATTTGAGGGGTTACATGGGGAGCAAATCATTATAAAAGTATTTATCGAAATTGTGGAGCAATCTTTATCAGATGTTATTGAAACTCACAAAAGACGAATACTAGAGGGGAAATGTAAAGTGATCTTAGTATCATCTTAGCGCATAATTTATTGTATTCTTTGACAAAAGCTCACTTTTGCATCGTCATTAAAATGCCAGGAAATCAACCAATATTTTTCGGCAAAGGACAAAGTCTCCATATTTAGTTTTGATTGATAACGCGTCTATGTGCCAATCCTAT